AAACTTCACATTGACCAAGCCGTTCATTTCATCAAATTCTGCAAGGTATTCTATTATGTTTTTTGATATGGCGCAGTTATGCGATATATTTGGTTTAAGTGAACTCAAACCTTCGGAATGTGTGTGTGGTCATTTCGTATTGAAGAAAGAGAGAGATGTTGTGGCTGATACTTCTTGTACTCCTGCAAAATACTTCAAAATCAAATCATTCACGGATTCCACAGTGACTTTGCAGAATTTGTCAGACAGGTCTGTGATTGAAGTGTCCAACAAAGAGCCTCTGGTTCCTTGTGTTACTGTTACTAGAAAGGGGAAGAGTTATTTCATTCCGATGCACAAGAACGTAAATCAATATATTTAATGAAGCCGTGATGAAAAATAAACCTTGCTTTGTTTCGAAATTTTTTTTTTGCAGGTGCGCAATTTTTGCGTTGTTTTTTTAACGCAAAAGCGTCAACTTTGCGAAGAGGGTTGCGGGTCCATGAGAAGCGGGTATCGAGCCCTTAAAAAATACCGCAAGATGATCAACAGAAAAGACTCTGACATGCTCCACAGCTTGGAAAAACGGTTAGCAAAGATTGAACAACAAACGCATTACATTATCTTTACCCTCCAACAATTAAATAACATACTCGATGAATACATACAAAACCACGAGGAAAGTACACAGCACCCTCATCACATTACTTTAAACACACACCATCCACCAATTGAAACCGTCAATAATTCAAATGTTGAAAAACCAGAGAAAAAGCCACCAGAAATTAATACCGAACGACCAACGCCATTAACACCTGAGAAAACAAGCATGAGAATACAACCCAAGAAACCACGTACAACCGTCAAAGCCAAGCCAAGAAGAAAAACTAACCAAAAGATGAACAAAGTTCACAACCACGTTGTTCATGACGACGATGAAATTGGACAAGCACTTACGATCCACTTGACCAAACATCAACTCGACAAGAAACATGTAGTGGTTAGAGGATTAAGAAAAAAACATCTCACCCTTTATTGGATCCAGGATTGCTCTCCACCCTGCTGTACCACGACTATTATGACATGAATCCTATGAAGAACAAACTGGTAATCTTATATATTTGTTTATTGACTAATCAGCACTATTTACTAATTCGTGACCTATTAATATGATTATTGATAACCCAATATTACTAACCATTGATATTTCAAAAAACATTAATAGAACAATCCTTGCATTATTTTCGCCATCTGTTCATCGATGGACTTAACCCGCTCCATTTATAGCAGTTGCTCAAAACAAGCAAGAAACCTGTTAATATTTGAAATATCCTTACAAAAACATTTGACATTCTGAAGTTGTATCCTTACTAAACGAACGTCTAATGTAACGTACTGAGGCACCGAAGGGCCAATAAATAATATTTAAATTTTTTTGTCGAGTATGAAATCTTAATACTCGAAGCCCGGAAGTTTGTTTCGCTGGCAGTTTTGCTATGCCTATCATGGAAATTGAACGAATCCATTCAACAACAACAGAGTAAGATAAGGTTGGTTGAAAGTATCGGAAGATTACGACAAAGGTTCACGCGTTCTCATGCTGGCGACTCAATCTTACTTGTATCAATGGCTTCGTCTCGTTATATTTGTTGGTGAATATAAATATTCCACGAATGGATTTGATGATGATGAATCGATTAATGAGCATTTGCTTTTGTTTGAAAATGACCGATTGACTATGAAAACGTTCAAACAATTTCAAATCCGCGCAATAAAATTCGGGTATTATTAAAAATTGTGATCTCAAAAATGTGATTTATTATGATGTGATGTGATGTGATTCAACCTGATTCTACCTGATTCCCCGGATCTCTAAGGATGCAATAAGGCAAAAAACGAAACTCTATCAAATTTGCCCCCAACAAAAAATGCGTTTCATTCATTTTCATAGTTTCAAGCTCGCAACCTGATCATCAAAAAGAATTCTTTCGTTCATTCAATATTTGAATTTATGGAAGAATGAAAAGAACAACCATCCATTACAAGATCTTGAAAGGATTAAATTCCCACAGCAACACATTGAGCATCATCAACAGCAACTATATTTTTGTTTTGAATTCTTCTTCATCCATGAAATCAAACAAAACATTGCAACATGTTGTTGTTCCGAACAACAATAACAACATATTGTTGAATCATCCAACATCAGCAACAACAACCACATTTGGCCAAATACGTTCTCAACCAATTACTCTCAATTTGATGGATTACGAGAGTTGGAATGCCCAACAAGTAGCATCAGTATTGACATCTCCTAAATCTTTGGGTGCTGGTTTGTCGGTTGATGATGTGAAGCCTTTGTATGAGAGTTGTTTTGATGGCGAAGCTCTCCACAACATTGTTGAGGATATCCAGAAGAAGGACGTATACTTTGCTCTTGATCAACTTGAGAACTATTTAAAAGAAAGAGTTTTCCAAATGACTTTTCAACTCTCCGACACTTGCCAAACTGTTGTATTTTGGGTGCTTAACCAATTAATGACCAGACAATATTCACTGTGGCGATTGGAGCCAGTGAGTAAACAAATCATTCAAAAATTGAGCGAACCTATTACAAAAGGAGGTGCTGATTTGAGCCTTGATCAAGTTTCTTCATTGGATGGCAAAACTCTCATCAAAATTGGTACTGCCATAGAGAAGGAAAGAGTGAAAGGCATAACAGAAGAAAAATGTATAAAAAATGCCATCAAGATGATAAAAAGCGACAAGGACTTTGCTTCAGTACCAAAATCTACTTGCAAAGCCGTTGCTGAGTGGATTGCTACCAAATTGACAAAGGCCAGCGAAGGAGGTTCTTTAATTAATATACCATCCGAGTTGTTTGATCTTTGGAAGTTTAAAGGAGAAATATCTGAAGATTTAAGAAAAGAAAGAGAAAATCCAAGATATGACTATCTCCGTAATTTACATGATCCAACAAACATGAAAAAACTAGAAAAACTCATTGGAACATTTATCGATCTTCCTGTATTGGGAACAAAAGACCGTGAATTGTCTCCAACAGCATTTAATCCAAATGCTAAATATCTTTTAACTCAGCAACGATTTGATGTTCTGAAAACACTTGTAAATGGAAGTACTGGAATGGTTTTGTCAGGTCCTTATGGAAGTTCAAAATCATACACACTTTATTTAATAGCTGCCTATGCATTTGTAAATTCATTTCCAGTACTTTTTGTTCCAAGATGTCATATCTGGATTAGGGATTACGACTACAAAAAGAATATCGGCGCCAATAACTACTTGCGCAGATTATTCTTTTCGTTGAATAGTGACATTCTCTCTCAAACACAAATTATCGAGTTACAGAAATCTATAGATATACTCCGACACTTGAGCAAAGAATTTGGATCCAAGAGATCGGTTTTCTACTTGTTTGATGAACACAATGAATTATTCATACCTGACACTGATAACAATATTCATGCTAGTGAAGAATATTTCCAAGATTTTACCAGATGGACAGGAGTTACATCAGGGGAGAACACAGTTACTATCTATTGTGGATGTGCTCATAGTTCCTTTGAAAATAACTTACCAAGAGGAGAAGAAAAAAGATTGGTTAGAATGATTCCTCCAACACCTACAGAATTTGAAACACTTATCACAGACTTCGGTTTGGATCCAAAGGATAAAAGAATAGCCCATGTAACAGGAAGAAACCCAAGAGAATTGAATTACTTGGCACACTTTTTGAAGGACAAAAAGGGTAGTGATAAAGATTTCAACCTATTTTTCAACGAAAGAGTTAACATATATGATCGAAGACTGGATTCATTAGTTCGCAAATTGGACAAAAGTAAGAATGAACAGTTTGAAAAGACACTGGAAGATCTTTTTACTCTTGGCCTTTTCAATGGAAGACCTGATAATGTTTCAGGAATTGTATACGATATTGGTTTATTGTACAAGGATTCTAATGGAAAACTTTTTATTATTAACGACCCAGCAAAGAGATGTTTATTCAATCACTACTGCAGACTTGACATGCCAAAAATACCCAAGAATATTTCTGATTCAGAGAAAGGAGCAATGTTTAAAAAATACTTGTTGAGACAAGAATATGGACTTCGTAGACAATTAGATAGCGAATTCTATGTAACAAACAACTTGAGTACGACCACAACATCCACGTTATCGTTATCATATTACGTTCACAAACATGCAAGCTTGGATCTAAAGGATTTAAGTTCTCTTGATCGAAATAATTATTTGAAAGGAATAGGAGTATTATTCATTCCAGAATCTGAAACTTTCCCAAGCTTTGATTATGCTATTGTTATGTACAAAGGGAGGACAGCGAAAATCTTTTTGAAAAAAACTACAATTTCTACTATTGATTCTCATTATTGTCACAGTAATGGCAACACAGATGTGGAAAATTTATTGGAACGTTGTTATGTTTTAGATAGAGAAGGAAAGGCAATGAAAAGGACTCAAAACGTTCCAGAGCAATATCATTTCTCGTTGCTCGAATTGATACTTCACGGAATTGTTGGAACTGAAGAAGCAAAAGCTGAAGAGTTGTTACAAGCCCGAAAGGACGATCTAACGTTCATCAAAGATGGAAACCTTGAAAGCTCAGTAACCTATGGTGGTGTCCAATTCACTTGGTATTTCATTTATGAATCTGGTGAGGAAGAACAATCTGTAAAGAAGGTTAAGGAAAATGGTATACTTTTTAGGAATCGACAAGAAATTGAAACCCACATGAAGATTTACTTTGAAAAATAATTGCTGTTGGAATTGTGGCTGGTTCTTGGGGTAGAGAGTTTTGGGGTTTGACAAATATCAATATCTGTGATATTCCTTCCCCAATTGGAAACCAATGGGTTTACAGCTCTCCTTAATAAAGTGATGTATTTGAGTGAAACAAGTCATTTAAGTCCCTTGGTTTGATAAAAGGCTGAACACATCCAACTTCAAGAAATTAAGGAATTAAATTCCAACCAATAAAAAAAATGATCGACTTTGCTAAGGCCGGTTTCGATAGTGGTACCTATGTCAAGTTTTCTACTTCATGCATGAAGGCGGATAAGGTCGACATTATCAGTATTACGTATGGCAATAAAGCTGTGGTAACGTTTGCCATTACTACAGTGTATGTGTTCGGTGATGAAGGTCCAACATGTTATGGTCCACTATGTTTTGGAAATCCCATCGAAAAACATTGTTTCCATTTTGCGATCAACGGTTCGTTCTACTCAAATTCTTTTTAGTTTGTTGAGCATAGATTTGTTAAAACACAACAACGATTGAAAATCAATTACAAAAAGAAGCAAAATGAAAAATCACTAACAATTAAGGGTCACGAGAATCCAATTTATATTAAAGAGAAACCTTCGAATGGTGATACCACTTGAATTCTTAACACAAAATTAAGAATGAAAAATAACTAGTCAATATCTTCCGTATTAAAAGAAGTCAAATTCCGTAAGAACTCACTCTTAGCAATATATTTGGCACCTTCATTGTCAATATAGTTGCAGACCAGATTTAAAGAAGTCAAATTCAAAAAACATTCACTAGTAGCGATATATTTGACACCTTCACTGCTAATTCTATTGGCACACAGACCCAAAGATGTCAAGTTATTCAACCATTCACTATAAGAAATACGTCTAATGTCTCTATTACCTAATGCATTACTCCCCAGATTTAAAGAAGTCAAATTCTTGAAACATGTACTGTCAACAATAAACATAACACCTTCTTTGCCAATTTCGTTGTCTTCCAGATTCAAAGATGTCAAATTCTTAAAATGTCCACTATTAACGATATAACCAACACCTTCACTGCTAATTCTATTGGCACACAGACCCAAAGAGGACAAATTTTTCAACCATTCACATGCAGCAATATATTTGACCCCTTCATTGCCAATTTGATTGCATATCAGATCCAAAGACCTCAAGGTTTTCATCCATTCGCTATCAAACATACATTTAATGCCTCCAGAACCTATTTCATTACCTCCCACATTCAAAGAAGTCAACTTTTTAAACCATTCACTATTGGAAACGAAGTTACTACTTTCCTTTCCAATTACATTGCTTTCCAGAACCAAAAGAGTCAGGTTCTTTAAACAGTCACTATTGGCAATATATCTGAACCCTTCATTGCCAATTTGATTGCCTGCCAGATGAGGTGACAGATAATGGCATACAAACATACTTTTTTTGGGAGTCCGATCTCAATAACTACTTATCAAAAAAACATTGTTCTTTGGTGTGGATGGGTTGATTTGTTGGGTTATTGTAGTTGTGGCTTTGGTTTGGGTTGTTGTTTGGGTTTTGGGTAGGTTTGGTCAATTAAACAAAATATGTTTGTATGCCATTATGTGTAATCCCCTGCCAGATCCAAAGAGGTCAACTTTTTCAACCATTCACTCTTAGCTAAATACTTAACGCCTTCATCACCAACAAAAATGCATTCCAGATTTAAAGAAGTCAAATTCATAAAACATTCACTAGTAGCGATATATTTGACACCTTCATTGCCAATTTGATTGTCTGCCAGATCCAAAGTGGTCAAATTTGTCAACCATTCACTGTTAGCAAAATGTCTTACACCTTCACTGCCAATTTTGTTGAATTTCAGCTTCAAATAAATCAAGTTCTTTAAACATTCACTATTAGCAACATATTTGGCGCATTCATTGTCAATTCCATTGTCTGCCAAATTCAAAGAAATTAAATTCTTCAAATGTTCACTGTTAGCTATATATTTAACACTTTCGCTGCTGAAAAATTGACTGCATTTCAGATCCAAAGAGGTCAAGTTTTTCATCAGTGCACTATTAGCAAAATATTTAACACCTTCATCGCTAATTTCGTTGTATTTCAGATCCAAAGAGGTCAAGTTTTTCAACCATTTACTCTTTGCAAAATATTTAACACCTTCATCGTCAATTACATTGCCACTCAGTTTCAAAGAGATCAAATTCTTGAAACGTTCGCTGTTGGCGATATATTTGACAGCTCTGTTACCAATTTCATTGCCTCCCAGATTCAAAGAAGTTAAATTCTTCAACCATACACTATTAGCAATATAGAGGGCCCTTTCAAACCTGCAGCCGCAGCAAACAGCCGAAAAGGACGGCTGCCAGCTCCTGCTGACTTCCCAAACTTTGTGGAAATCCAGAATCCTCCAGAATCCGGATGTTTGTGGATTTTGGCGGTTGTTTTTGGCTTTAAAACGAAAAAAATTTTGAACAATAAAAAAATGCAAAACAACAACAGCAACAACAACAATTCCGAACAAGCTTTGGCATGTTATCCTTGAACGAAATGAATTCAAATGTGGAGCTAGACAACCAATCCACATCAACTTACACCCACGAAACGAATTCTGATCTTCATCTTCTCTATGACTATCTTACCGATATAAAATTCACACCATCAGACATCAATTCAGTAATTCGTATTTTTGAAGAAAATGCTATCAGAAGTATTGCTGTTCTAAATTTATTTGATGATGAAGAGATCATGTCATTTGCACTTCCAAAATCCATCATCAAAGCAGTGATTTCTTTCCGAATGCAATCCGAAAATGATAAATCCAAACCAAAGATTTCACGTAAAAACAAGATTATGACTGAAGATGATGTCAAACAAATGTTCATAACAAAAGAGCTTGAATGGAATCAAAAATTCGCAAAACATAACATTGAAGTGAAATTTTTCTCCACAAAGGGCAAATATTACTGCCCCATTCGTGATAACTATTTTACACTACCACCTAATGCAAAAATTAGTAATGCATCGAGTACATATAAGGGTTTATCACGAAAAACTTCATCTATTTCAATTGAAAAATCCAAAATAATTGCTCGTCTAGCTAAATTTTATGAAGCAACTAAATCTTTGAATGAAAAGCAAGCAAAATCTGTAGCAGAAAAAGCATTATTGAATTATGATTTAATTGAGGAACTAAAGAAATGGGAGAGCTCTCCTGAAGGTAAAAAACGAAAATTTGTGGAATCGTTCGCATCTTCCTCAAAGAAAAAGAAACAAATCAATGATGAAGACAACGATAACAATACCGACATCGAAGATGATAATGAGTCAATTTATACTTCGACTTCAAGGTAGATAAATTGTCAATTTATCCATTATTGTTGTTATTAACTATCATTCAATAACTCATTATAGAACCCAATTACACGCGCACAAATATGAAGTATTGCAGAGCCTGGTATTAGAAAAAGATGATAATACTTCTCATGAAATTCTTAATAATATCACAGATCTATTGAACACTCCTATTCAATCTCTCTCGACAATACAACTAACAAAAATTGAAATGATTGAAAATATTCTCAAACAGCGACCAAGATTCTCTCAAGAAGTGACAGCTGCTTTAAATTTTGCTCACCATCACCAAAATCCATCAAAAGCATTTAAAACGATAGGAATCCCTCTCCCGAGTACACAGACCTTGAAAAGAAATAGAATGGTGTTGATGAATAGTTTTTTGGATGATTTATTGGATGATGCATTAACCTTTTTCAATATTCAAAATAATTGTCATATTGGGTGTTTAAGTATTGACGCTACCGCCATTAATCAAGAAATCACCATTAATCACCAAAAAAACATGATTTTTGGATTTGAAGAACACATTTCAATAACACACATAGAAGACTGGCAAGAATTTCTGAAAGGTATTGGAGAAAATCACTTCACCTATGCTTCAAATATGGTTACCATACACCTCTCATCGTGCACGGATTGGAAAAACACCAATGCCTTTATTTTGAAAGCTATACCACGGTCTAATTATACATCCTTAAACATCCAAGCATGGATTGATCCAATTGTGGATTATTTGAAACAGAGGAATTTTGAAATTTATAATATTTCAGCAGATTTTGCTGCAGAACATGCCACTTTTTTTGGTCAACAATTTGAGCTAATGTTTGGATTTTCTCAGACTGTATTTAAACCATTACCATTCTTAAACATTGGTGACCAATATTTGAAAGAAGTGTTGATCCCTATTCCAGATATACGTCACCTCCAAAGAAACCTGACGAATCAATTAATTTCTCCCAAAAGATTGATTACAGTTGGTACATTCGCATGCTGCTTCAATGACATTTCTGATTTACATTCTAATGATATTTCAACAACTCGAATCTCTTTTCCAAATGATTTTTTTAATCTCAACAATAAGCAAAACCAAGAAAGAGCAGATTTTTTAATATCAGATTTATGTATTACTGCTTTGAAAAAGAACATGGATGCTTTTGGTATGGTGTATATCTTGCAAGCCATTCAAGATGTTACAATGTCCATCAAAAGAAAAGATTTGAACTCATTTCAACGTTTGAGGCTTGTATGTAGAGGTGGTTGGTTTCTCTTGCTTCAAGCACATTTCGCAATTTTTCAAAACAATTATGGATCCGATCATACATTTAGTAGACAATCTATTAATGCTGTGTGCTATTTAATGATCGGTTTGTGTTTGACAATGTATAGAGTTCAATCATCATCCAACAACAGAGTATTTTTGCCTTTTCAACTGCAAGAATATATGATCGAGAATTTTTATGGAGTGGCTCGACAATATTGTGGCTCTAACACCAATCTGAACGCTGAAAATTTCTTGAATGCTCTCAATAATTTTTTAAGTGCCTTAATTGTTGGATTACAATTCAACAAAGAGAAAGATCAATCCACAAGATTACCATATGAGTATTATTGTTGCTTCCCATCACCAGAACATATTAATTATATTGTTATTGGTGAATTTGAAAGAGCATGTCGCACTTTTGCCATGCTTTCAGATGCTGAATATGAAGCTCCAACCATTCATACTCTATTGTTTAATTTGAATATACCTGGTATTGAAGTTTTACTTACAAAAGAATTCAAATTGAAACAATATTCGAATAATGACATTGTGGAATTTGATAAATTGGAGCAGCAATGGAACAGAACACATCAACCACACAACATGCTGCAAAATTTCAAAAACAAACAATCCAATGCACATATCACCATTGGAGGAATTATCTATCACAAACAACAATTGATACGTCAAGTAACATTTAGTCACAAAACTTCTTGTGATGTTTCGAGATATAGAAGGTTCGATAAGAGAAAACCTAACACTATCTCACAACAATCAAACTCCCTCTCATGGCAACTCTATTCTCAACTGACTTCTCAAGAACAAATTGAAAAACCAGAAGCAAATCAGACTATCAATTCCGAATATTTAAGCATTGGTGATTATGTTCTCCAATTAGATGAAAACAATCATGTCTTCATCTGCCAAATTAAGCAAATCAAACAGTGGACAAAAAGGACTAAGAAGAACAAAAAACCTTTGCCAGGATGGGAAGGAGAAGATTATTTATATTCTATCAAATGGGAATACCGAAGAGATACTAAAATGGGAGAGCTCAATACTTTTAGATTTTTCATGAAAACTTTTGTTGTGAATGAAGCAGATTGCAGATTGATAGACGTTTCTAAAGATTTTACACAATATTATGAGGAATTTACTTCGTTTCCAAGAACCGTCATTGTGGAGAACGGTTTTTTAGTAAGCAAAATAAACTGATCACCTGATCGAAATCCTATCTCAGCCGCAAAAATCCTGTTTCAACCGGATGCCAAAGGATTCTGTTGATTGTATCCGAAAATAACTTCGGCAGCGAGGACTATCCTGGCTGAATGGCTGTTTGCTGCGGCTGCAGGTTTGAAAGGGCCCTCGCAATATATTTAACACATTCATTGGCAATTCTCTTGTTTCCCAGATTCAAATCCAAAGAAGTCAAATTCTTCATAGATTCACAAGTAGCTAAACGTTTGATTTGGGCACCACGAACTTGTTTGAAGTAACGACGTCGTTTGAATGATAATGAGAGAGGAATTTGAAATGATACTTGTCTCCATTGTTTTGAGATTTTCATACAAATTCGAATAATAAACAACGATTCAAAGAAATGAAGAATTTCAAAAATGATATCATCTACAAATGGTCCATTGTTGTTACGGTTGTCGTGGTTGGAATGTACCATCATTGGAGAGAGGGAATTATCAATTTCAGAAATATTATTGATCATGATTGAATGCATGCTTCCACAACACTAACAACAACACAGGGTGAGAGGTTTCTCTTTTTAGTAGAGGCACAGGTATGAGTGATTCAGAATGTCGGAACCGAGATGAAGAGCGATCAGTTAGAGAATTTTTTTTTGTAATAATTCTTTACAAGGCTTCAGCGAAAGGCTTTGAAGGAGTTTGAAAATTTTTTAAGCTTCTCTTAAGGGACCTCAATTGAGTTTTTCGAGTAACAAGTTATTCGCCCATAGTACCTCAACAAGTCATAACGAAGAGCTTAGTGAACCTGCTTTGAAGCTTGGTGATATTGTAAGGAATGATAAATTTTACCCTTCGACAATTTCGATTCAATATAATAATGTAGTTTACTGGCTGCTGATTGGATCATAATTTCATGATAAATGAGATTCTCAATAACCGTCATGGATAAGTGAACAATTCGATGCTATTCACAATACAAGATCAATGAGATCCTTTCAAAAATTCCAACCAGAAACGTTACAGTATGCATTAAAATAGATATTGTAAAGCTTTTTGAAACCTTTCTTTGATTTGGCGTCATTTTAAGTATATAGCATGTATTGGACGGTCTGTAAAAAAGTGTTGCACTTGGTCTTTTTTATTGAGCGAGGATTGGAATTAATTTGTTCTCAAATGACAGCTTCCTTTTTCTATATTGAACTTGTAAGATTTCACATCTCTGTTACAGAAAAATCATTGATCTTGTCCAAACCAAGAATAAAGATGATATCATAACTTTGTACTTGAACAATTGTCATCTTTACTCCAAAAGAAAACCAAACATCAACCACCGCTTCGATCATTAATAACGGTTTGAATTTCTGTTTCTAAACATCAACCCGCCAAAAAAGGTGTTTAAAAAAAATTCAAAAATTCTTTTCGCTTGTTGTTTGGAAGCATCGGAATTGTGAAAAGAAACATATTGTTTTCATCATCCTTCTACAATAGTGGTTGGATGGAATACACATTGGAGAACAGTTGTTGGATTGCTTTGTAAAATTTTCGGATCAACATTTAGTCCTTTCATCATCAATTTTGAACCAATTGTAAGTAATAGCAATGATCGAGTGGAAGAAAGAATCATCAATGACTTGGTACCCATAGTTCTCATCATGTTTTTATATTTTTCTTTTCAAAGACGCTTGAACAATCAAAGCCTTTCATGGATAACACTCCTCCTTGTTGCTCTAATAACTTGTTATACTCTCTTTTTATACACAACAATTGCTGCTACCACCCAGCAAAAATCATTACATCAAAACACGTTGATCAGTTTTGGAGAATTGAATCAAAGGTTACAATTACCTCTCGGAGATGGCATTGTCGGAATTGAGTGCTTTCATGAAGATGACCACTCCATGTTCTCCAAAGAAGATGACCACGATACTAGCAGGAGGAGTAGTAGTACTGAACACACTCCTAGTAGTAATTTTCAAACAGTGATCGTAATTCATACTGTGAAAAATAGAATTATTACTCTCTCAAAAAGTAATAACCACAAAGAAGGAAATGACGAAACCATGTCGTGGCATGTGAAAATGTATGAACAAATGAAAGAGTGGAGCGATGGAGAAGAAAAGAGTATTAAAGCCATATTTAAGCGAAAATTGGACAAATTAGATCATTTAGATGAAAATCAGGCAGAGACAAGTCAAAAAAAGAGTGCCAGTCGATATTTAGTGCGAATGGCATCACCCTTCTCTGTGAAAAAAGCTGCCACAATTACAGCATCCAAGTTTGGCAGCGAAGTTGGACCATTATTTATTATTGACAAGCTATTAGACGAATTTTTAATGTGGAATAATAACCAAGAAGAGCCTACTTCAAGAATTCCTTTATTGAACGAGACTATGGCCACGCTATTTAAGGGAAATATTGCAGACTTTCAATTTAATGGCAACTTGGCAGTCTGGCTTACAACACTAGGCCATGTATACTATTCCTTTATTTCCAATGTTGAACAATTTTGGCAACCTTCGACACAAAATTGTGAAATTTATAAGGCCCTGTATAATAATAGAGAGTTTAAAGCGAGAAAAATAGCACTAGGCACTGATCATTTATTAATTATTGGAGCCCATGATAATGGACTCTATTCATTGGGTGGAAATGTAAGTAGTATTTTTTTCATTCTAGTGATACAATGTCTCAAACACTGCTTGAACTTTCAAAAACAGGACTATGGTCAAGCTGGTCTTTCACAAAGCCATGCAATTGTGCTCTCACTCTCGCGACCAGATGGAATTAAGGGAAAAATCAAAGACGTGTCTGTTGGAAAATATTTCTCCATTGTATTGACCGACAATCATCAAATTTACACATTTGGAATTAATGAAAATGGGCAAGTGGCGCTCAATCCTTCTTCAACCTCTAAGAGTCACATTCCAACCCCAATCACTTCCAAACTATTTGGTGACGAGAAGATTGCCACCATTGCTACAGGAAGTGCTCATACCGCAGTTTTGACAGAGAGCGGATCTATTTTTACCTGGGGAAGCAATTCACACAAACAGTTATTACACAACTCCACACATTCTCACATCCCTACCATGATCTTTTCAAATATTCGTGAAAATTTTAAATTATCAACCTCTTTGCAACAAGTTTTTGCGTGTGGAAATAATTTATTGTTGCTATTGAGAGATTTTAATGTAGATTCTTTGAATCAACAAGATATTCCACTCATTGATTTGAATACCATGAGTGCAATTAATAACTCTCCTTCCAAAACAGAACTCACAACACGTCATGACTCTAAAGATTTTCAAACCTATGAAGAAAAGAACCAGTACATTTTGGAAAACTTTGAATTTGTTGAACAAGTGGGAAGTGGAGCTGAAGGTCTCATCCACAAATACAAGTGCAAAACAACTCAAGAACATGTAGTCATTAAGCACATGAAGGTTTCCGAAAATGAAAAAGCCAGTTTTCAAGCTCATATTGAACAAGTCAGAAAACTCAACCACAAACATCTGGTCCCATACTTGGACGCTTTTTGTGATGAGAAGGAAGAGAAATCCGAAACATTTTATTGTCATATCATCATGCCTTACTATTATCAAGATTTATCAGATCTGATATTTTATCATTCGGATATGGAACATGATGCAACAACCATTACAGATGTTTACGAAATTGGCTATCAAATTGCTGAAGGCATTGATTACTTACATCAACTTGATTTGGTACATCGAGATGTTAAGGTTGAGAATATTTTGATTGAGTCGTGCGGAGGAAAACACAAATTTGCCAAAATTACTGATTATGGATTTATGACGAATATCAATCAAGTGCATTCTACTCATGCTTATTCTGAAGATGTTGGATCTTTGAATCAGAATCTCGTAGACAGTTTTAACAAGAAGAGATCGGCCATGTACATTGGAAGTTTGCCTACAGTAGCTCCAGAGATCAAAACAAAGAGTCACATTTCCAAAGACAGTCTCAAAGCAACAGATAGTTTCTCCTTTGGAGTCTTGCTTTATCAATTACTCATATTCAAATCAAAAATCACACTCGATGGTGTTGAGCATTACATTTCTGACGCATTATTGTATGACGAACGAGCAGCTCATCAAGAAATTACCAAGCAACTTTCCTTAAAGCCATATCCCAAGTTGTGTATTGATTTGGCACTGAGTTTATTACAGAAAGATTGGACCAAACGCCCCACGATGCGAGAAGTGAAAAACGTTTTGGATTATCTTTCACGAGGAGAGAAGTGGTCCTTTCAAGGCTGAATAAGCCTTTTCAAGGGACAATGATGAGTGACCCCTGTATTTCTCTTTGGAAAATTCAAATTGGTGTACAAGAAGTAACCTCGATTTTAAACACACACCTTGACAACGATGCTTGAGATGATTTGTTTATTTACATGTAAATTGTGTAAATTTCTTTCATTACAAATCTGTTCTATGCTTGAGAATGACTTTCAAGTTTCCTGGGCGAACAGTGACACCTGGAACATCATGCACTTGATCTTGAGGATTCGATTCGTCATTACCCAATTCCAATGTATAAAATTGTAAAATTCGAGACAAGATGGTACATGCCTCAATGAGTGCAAATTTAAATCCAATACATTTTCGATTACCAGCTGAGAAGGGAATCCATGAAAAGTCGTGTTGAATCTTGGCTTGTTCTTCAGAGTTCATTGGAAATCGTTCTGGATTAAACTCCAAAGGTCGTTCCCAATTCTTTTCACTTCGATTTGCTCCATAAATCTGCACAATCACTGTAGAATCTTTTGGAATGACGATTCCTCCAACTTCTGTGGTCTTCTTTGCCATTCGAATCACGTTCACCACTGGTGGATGCAATCTCATCGATTCCATAATCACTGCATTCACATAATGCAATTGAGCATAATCTTCAAAGTTGGGCGAACGAGCATTCACACCCTTTCCTAACAATCGATCCACTTCGTCACGAGCACGTTGTTGAATATGAGGATTTTTCGATAATTCATAACATGTCCACTGTAGAGCCGTTGAGGTTGTTTCATGTCCTGCCAATGAAAAGATGAAAGCATCCGATTTCAATTCTTCATCATTCAAAAGACCCTTTTCATTGATATTGGCCTCGACTAACACACTGAGCAAGTCCTTTCGTTCCTCAGAGTTGGACTCTGAAGCCGAAGATAAATCAGCCATTCCCTTATTGACAATTTCACTTCGTCGCTCTCGAATGATTTCATCCAATTTTTGACTTACGAGTGATGTGGCATGATCGAGACCTGTCCATTTGGAAAGAATGGGATAAAGCCATGAAACGAGAGAATTCTGTACAAGGAATCGACGTGCAATGATACCTGTGGTGAACATGAGCTCGAGAGCTTTTCTGAAATTTCTTCCTTCCTTACTGACTTGATCGAAAATGGAGAAATCCAAACCTGTTGCAAATGTCAATTTTGATTATTCACACATGGTTCACAATTGCCAATTCAATGTAATTCAATTACAATCCACATTGAAAAATAGATAATCAAATATATAGATAGGAATAACAATTACTTACCAAAACCAGCCTTTCCTAAAACATCCAAAGTAATATCTGAGAAATCACCATTCGAATCAATAATAATACTCTTTGTCTTGCTTGCCTCAATTTCTTTATCCCATTTGGTACTTCGAATCAAATCGACACTGTTGGAAGCCACTGAACTCATATATTCTAAATTCTTCGAAGCAAAAGCACCTGACGCGACACGATGATGATTTTTCCAGGCCTCACTATTCGCATCTAAAATAGAAAGAATGTTTTGCCCAAAAATGTTGAAAGATTCGTAGGCAATCTTGGGTTTCAAAAAGTTATTTCCCTTGACAATTAACATTTCTTTGAGCATTTGTTTGTCACTCACGACCACCACGTTTCGATCCAACATGGAAATTCGTATGGTCTTGGTTTTAGGATCACCCTTCTCGTTCATTACCTTGTCAATGACGTTGTGTGATCCGAAATAAAGATATTCAGACACAATGGGAATTCGGAAAGGAGAGAATGCCAACTGCCACACACCAGGTATGTGTTTTACTTGTTTGTATTGGTGATAGATGGATAGGGCACAAAACACAAGCGTGGCAATCAATATCAGTCCCAAAGCCAAAGCAATTTCATAGAGTGGCATGTTGTTGTTGTGAGACTATGTTCAACGTTGAATATTGTTATTGGTGTTGATGTTTTTTTGTTGAATGCATTCACTAATCTCCGTAAGTTGAAACTTTTAAAACCGGAAATTTTTGTTCGACTTCTGTGCGTTTCCAAGATACAAGATAAAAAGCGTCCGCCATGACCTATCGGGTCCAATTGGATTGCATTTCATATTCATACACAGTGGAAACAAACATGGACGCACACCTATTTAGTAAAAGAGCGCCTACAATCATGTTGACTGAATGACTGTAATCATAAAACTTTGGGTCTCAAACTTCTTGTCATGGAAGTTGGCCTTATTCTCTACAATCTAAATCGACTCAAAAACGAGAACAAAACTTCTGCAGTATGTGAAGGATCATCTTCCTGAATGCAATGTCCAGTTCGATTGAGAACTTTCATTTGGAATTTACCTTGCATTTGCGCAATGGTTAATTCCTTATCCAAAATATCTGTTGAGGTAATCATGAGTAATTTCACTCCTCGGACGGAAAGAAATAATTTTGACATGTTTGTAAACCAATCGGTCCAATATTGTTCACTATGTTCCAACGCTGTCCTCCACTTGTAGTACATGATTTCAGAATGATCTTCGTCACTAATTGCTTGCAATTGAGAAGGAATGCTAATGCAAGCACTCTGAATATTGTTGACAACACCATTTTGCACAGACCACTTGATTGCTGCTTCCATAGTTTTAAACTTTTTCGGTCTCGATTCTAGAAATCGTTTGGTATTGGGCAGGCTTGAAAGGGCACTTCCCTCAACCATGTCAATGACGATAACTCCTCGAACAGTCATGATGGAGTTCACTTGGAGACCAGCTTTTTTCTGCTCATCCTCAATTTTATCCATTTTAGCAGCAACGCGTACAGCAATTGCTCCACCCAAGCTGTGGCCAATTAACACAAAATCTCTCTTCTTTCCTTGGTATACTTTCTGTAAGACAGATGTCACATCATCCACAAGTGTTTCAATGCTCAAATCCAAATCATTGGTACTTGTATGACTAGCTCCATGAGCTCTCAAATCAATTGCACAATATTCATAATCATCAAATGCATTTGTCAAAATATTGTTATTTCCCATTTCCATGGGGGTCGGAGGCGATCGTAGGAAATTAATATTCTGCATATTTCCACCACTTTTTATCACAAATTGTTGTAAATGTTTGATGCAGAGAGCCCATGATAATGAAGTGAAACCAGCTCCATGGATAAATACAAGTACAGTATCCGATTTGCTTTTCTTTCCAAGAATTGAATTGTTAATATTGATACTCTTAATGGAGGCACTAGAAATTGTAGATGGTTCCGATGTTGTAGTTGTCGGCACAGGCTGATTCTTCATAGTGGAAGAATGATTAATGGTATACACTCTAAATGTTCCTCTCTCTTCCAAATGAACATCATGTGGTTCAAAATATGCTGAATAATCTAACACGGGTTTAAAGGCTTGAAGATCTTGCTCGGAAGATGATGGAGAATTAGAATTGGGAGATTTTTGTGGTGATCTTGAAGTGGGATGGCAAGTGCTCGGCATGGACATGGATGATGGTGGTCCCATTGTTGAATTTTCTTGATGATTCACTCCCGAGGATGATGATGAAAGCTTTTTTGTGAACAAGTCTCGCTGCATTTTTTTTGAGTTGATAAGATTACAACAATACTTTTATGGTTGAATTCCAACAAGATTCTCAATCGTGTGTGTATTAGGCACAAAATAATTACAAATAATTCATGCTATTCGTGGAAGCTAAACTTCTTGGAGAGGATATGAGAGAGGAAGATTGTCTGGTTAGGGAATTAGAGAAGGGATAGAGAGAGGGTTGTTGTTTAAAGGTGTGAGAGGATTGAGAGGATTGAGTAGATAAAGTGGGTGCGTGACGATTCGTGTTGCTAGCATTGTTACTACTTCGTGATGGCGTATATTTGGAATGTTCATATAAATGATGATGCTGTTGTGACACAAGGTCTTCATATTTCACATACACCAATTCCTTCTTATCAACATCATACTTCCAATTTCCTTTCGTAATGTCTTGTATATGCTTATTAAGGTGTTCAATTTTCTGCATGAGTGCAATGTTTTCATTCGAAAGTTTCACAATGGATTGTGATTGGTCTTGTATTAAACGTTCTCGATTCAATCGCTCTTCGTCATGATTCTTGAGTAAGGATGATAATTTTTCTTCAATATTCACCACCTGAGTTTTCAGCAATTCTTCCTTCTTCATAAAGGATTCTTTTAAGTAGTTCACGAAACGAGAAAGCTTTTCATACTCTATCTCAAACGAGTCCTTTCTCTTTGGGCTCAAATAAGAAAGATGTGGAGTTTTGGGAGCTTCGAGTAACTTGTTGAGAGAGTCAAGGCTTTCAGGGAAAAGATGATGATTAACAATATGGTGTTCGTTTTGCTTCAATGTAAATTTGGAGACGTGGTGTGGGGCCAGCACTAACGAAGCTCTTTTGAAAATGTCTGCGTACACAGGTAGTAAATGATCGTCAATAGAAAATCCAACTCTAGATTTCATCTTTTTCAAAATTTCCATTTCCTCTGGTGATAAATTGGCTTGTGAGATCTTTGGTTTCGTGTTATGATCATCAATTTTTGGAATCTTTTTCTTTGGTTTGGAAATGGTATTAGTTGGTTCGTTTGTATTGAGTCGAACTTGTTTCTTTGCTACGCTACTTGGTACGCTATTCTTAATCAGAGATCTCTCAGTTGAAAGCCGTGCGTAGGAGGAATCCGTTCGTTGAGTGTCCATATTCTCTTCTTTGGGCGCTTCAGAATCGTTAATTGTTTCAAATTTGTTTTTGGGTAATTCTAGCCGTGGCAGTTTGACACTAGGTGCTGTGTTGTTCACAATAACAGGAGAAGTGGGTTTTGAGCTGTGTACAGAGTGAGAGTGTTTTGATGATGTGGTGGTTCTTGCTGATGACAGTTCTTCGCTAACTTGAGAATTTGTGTGATGAGGTCTTTTTTCTTCCTTAGACGAGCCGTTCCTATCAATCTTGGGTAGAAACGAAGAATTCTTGTGATTGTTGCCATGTAGATTTCCTGAGTGAGAGCTTCTGTTCGTGGATGAATGGGAAGGTGGTTTTTCTACTGGCCGATGTTTGGCCGAGGACTTGCTAGCTTGAGAACGAGAGGTAGATGGAGTTGAATGTTGCTGTGAAGTCTCACTGGTTTGAGATTTTTGTGGAATTGGAGTAGCATGATTTAAGGGAGGAGATGGCGTGTTGGCTTTGCCTCTTTCCGATTGACGAGAGGATGATTTTGACGATGGCTGCTGTTGCTTTGACAGAAATTGTTCGTTCATATCTATGGAATTGACAGTTGGTTCTTGATGTATTGCCTGAATGGTTGAGGAAGTGGGTGTTGGCGCTCGAGGTGGCAATGGGTCTTCTTCTGGTGGAGCTGTCTTTTCTTCTTCTTTCCCACTGTTGATCGCCGTCTCTTGTTGAGACTCGAGGGTGAGTTGCGTTTCTTCGTTTGATGTTTCCTGTAACGGAGGTGATGCGTCACGATCGTGAACAATGACAACCTTTGAATCTGATTCTTGGCTAATTACATTGCTGTTATTCAAAGCTTGTTGTTGTGGAGCAGTTTCAATACTGCCATTAATACTCCTGTTTCTGTCATTATTAAGACGTGCTTCCTTAATTTCAATCTTTTCTTTGGCAGGTGGAGCATTGGATATCTGATTTAGATTCCTCGACGACATGTTTTTAAGATTTTTCACAGATGTCCTAGCAGCCTCTACAAACTTTTTTCTAAGGTATGAAGCCGATTTTTCTCGAGTTAGAGTGGGTTTCGGTGATGTGCTCGAGTTATTATTTGGATTAGGTATGATCAATGAACTTCGGGATGGTGACGCCCTAATGACTGGTCTTGCTGCTTCTTGCTTGCTTGGTACTTCAGAATCAGATTTGTCAATGGTTGGTGCTGTTTCAACAACAGGTTGAGGTGGTGAGACGGTCAGAGGGCTCGGTTTTGTTTGACATCCTACGTCCCATACTTGAGGTTTCGCCAGACAACCTTGCTCTCTGTAGTGAGAGCTGAGCTGTTTCATTAGAATGGTTTGATCAATAAATATGCTTGATTCATCCGCTTGACTTGCTTTTTCGCAGGTCACTGGATCAAATTGAGATTTGGTGAGGATGGCTTCTTTCAGAGCCTTAACTTTGGCATTGAAATCGAGAGGTTGACAAACTTTAAGGTTCTTTACAAGAGACATGTACTCCTCTCTGTAGCCATCATGTGTAGAGTAGGTTGAGAGCCGCTTGCTGATATCAAAATATTTTCCATACGAGTAATACAAGTTGTCCACGTAATTTTTAAATTCTCTTTTCAAAAACGCCTCCACAAAGCTTGCCAACTCTGTTTTGAAATTGTGGATTTCTGCTCTGTATTTGTAATCTTGCTTGTCAAGTTCGTTCTTAATTCTCACCTCCACAGAAACGAATTCTCTGTTTGTAAGCTCATCACACTTTGATTGTAAATGCTTGAACTGCTCCATGTTGAATTTTCTTAATTGATCCAAATGTGACTCGTATTTCTTTTTCATTTGAGACTCGTTTGTAATGTGCTTTTCAACAAGTGTTTCAATTTCATTCCTTAAAATATTGATATAATTTTTAGTGTCTTGGGATAGAACTTGATCCCAATCAGTTTCAGTTTGACAAATTTTGTTATGGGTGACTTTTTGAAATGTAAATGGCTGAGTTTTGTCTCTCAACTTTTCTTGTAATAAATCAAATTCACTGATAATCTTGTTGTAATAGGTTTGACGATTTTTTGAAAAATCCTTAATCCATTCTCTGTCATCTTCCTCTTCTATTTTTTCTTCTTCAATATTATTTGAGGAGTCTTCAGGAATGGTATTATCTACGGAATTGATTGCATTCTCGTCGGAAGAAAGAATGGAAGAGTCCTGTTGATTGTTGTCATCTTCATTATTTTTTGCTTTTAATTTAGCCAACTGTCTACGCATGGAAAAATTGGTGGCCACGCTTGAAGTATTGAACTCACCAATCACCTCATCCTCTTCATCATCTTCATGCATAAACGAGGCCTTAGGGTTGGTTTCTTTCATTTCCCAGGAGAAGACCCGATGGTGGCCGATCGGAAGTCTACGGCCAAGAGATATTGGTTGTTTTTTTTTGTCGTTAATTTTCAACCGATTTTTAAGGCGGGCTCTGAAGTCAGATAACCTTCCGAAGAGTCAAGTCATGGTTTCATGAAGGACACTGTTCTTGCTTGTGATGATCCTTAGGCTTGATGACATCACCAGTATTATTCTCATTGAATTTTCAAAACAGCACAATAACACGTGCGCTTCTCTGAGGAAACTTCATTCGGAAGTTTCCAATCCGAAAATCAAAATTCCAATCAAAAAAAACTCAGCAATTGGCAGTTGTTGTTTTCCAATCGGCAGCCATTGTTGTTTGTGCAGGCAATAATTTTACTTTACCAAAAACGATCCGATCGGTCTGTGTGATCTTCTCTGATTTGCAGGTATGTCAGGCATGACAAGATTTTTGAAAGCTATAAATAATAACAATTTATTTATCAAAAAATATCGTTGTTGGGTTCTGTTGGTGAAATCCTTTGCAACGGAGTAGGCTTTATCATCATCATCTCAAATTGTGTACATACTAGCTTTTCTTTTTCATCAGAGTAATTCATAGTAATTTTACCAAACATTCGGATTTAGTCTTAGGAACGGACCTACAACAAGGAATCACTCACTTTCATATGAATGTTGAAATAACATTGTAACTCATCACCATATAACGAAAATTCTGATATCATACTCTCGTTATTATTCCATTCTCATGTCCTCCAAAAATCACAAATTGACCACCTCTTCCACTTCACCAAACACCTCCATTTCCAATTCTTCACAACTTTTACCATCATCATGTAATTACAATAACACTCCATCCTCAACGAAATCTTCATCACCATCCTCCATGCCGTTCAGTAGAAAGATCTCCTTTCCTTCTACTTTCAAAAGGCAAAACTCCATATCAAAGCCACCCACACTTCTGAATCATGAAGACTATGTCACCTCGAGTAGTACTCAACACTCAACAAGCTCCTCATTCACGAGCCTTGATTTTACGAGCACAAATAGTAATTCAACGAAATTTGGAAACCCCTCCTTCTCTTCCACAAGCAGCAGCACCACTTCATCTGCTTTTTCAAGTAGCCACCACACTTCTTCCACCTGTAAAATATCTCCTATCGAATATGACAATCCTGATACAAGTTCTAAATATTCAAATACTTCAAAGAGCAGTGCTGACTCGAGTGGAAAACCAATGTTGCAAGCTGATCATTGTTCAAAACAACAGCATGGAGCATCTCAAAAGAAATCTCAGCTCAGCCCAATCCACGAAGGAATAGTACATCAAATGTATGACTATTTACAAGCTTCTCAGCAAACAAGCTCTAAACCAAAACACATTCCCCAAAAAACCAAACCAACCACAAATTTTTCCTTTGGTAACATTCATGAGGAGGAGGACGATGACGAAGACATGTTGGAAATTCTAAGTTCAACGTTACCCTCCAAGTCAAATATTGTGAAATCAAATTTTGTAAGAAAACCAGTTCTTGACACCACAGTAGATGATTGGAAATTTAAAAAATCATATACAAGCTCAGAGGATGAAGAGGATTCTCAAAACGACGAATCTGGCTCGGACGACGAAAACGTGAGCAAAAATTCATCAAGCAGGTCTTATCAACCAACATCAGCATTTCAAAAGCTAAAATCAAATGCCACCAACGCAAAGAAACATTGGTTTAAATTTAAATCGTCGAATCTTGACGACGAAGAGGAGGATGACAATTCTGATGGCGGTTCAGCAAGTGACAATGATAGTGATACCACAAGCAGTACTACTAATGACGAAGAGGAAATGTGTGAAGATCAAGAAACTATATCCACTCCCTTGACTTTTGATACTTTCCCACAGAAAGATACAGATTTTACTGAGGATGATTATGCAGTTGCAGATAACAGTTTAATATCATTGGATAATTTGGACAAGCGTGAAATGTTGACCCTTTTTTTGTTGCAACACGTCTCAAGACAATACAATCCAGACCCAAATTTTTTCATTTCTCTTCTGAGAAGGCTGCACAAGGAAGGATACTTGACGGATACACGATTTTTGGATCAACAGTTTTTAAAGCAAACATGTAAAAACTTTATGAAGGATGTTGTAGAGAATTGGCCAATAACGTTTGGAGACAATAATGATCATGGTAGAACGTCACCAAGTGCAAAAACTGCTGAAAGTTTTTCATCTGCATCGCCACGACTAAAATCTGCCAGTGGTTTGTCGAGGTCTGAAAGTTATCATTCATTTCTTTCGACGGCTGGTCATGAAAATGTGAACAAACAACCTGCTACTTTACTGACCTCACTTCCACTATTTGATTCATTGTTTTTCAGTCCAAGCAGATACAAGTCTGATTTTCATCACAAACAACGTATTGGTCGCGGAGCGTTTGGAGTTGTGTTTGTTTGCAAGCACAAGATCGATGGACACTATTATGCGATCAAGAAAATTAAATTTTCATTTAGAGATAAGAACGAACTGAAAGAGGTTTATGGGCAAGTAATTAGAGAGGTACGAGCGTTGGCAGCTCTAGATCATCCTAGAATCGTTCGGTATAACCAAGCGTGGTTCGAGCCAAATCGAAATGGCATGCACGATGACGAAATTCCACACAATACAGAATTTGAGGATGCAGAGGAAACCAATGCTACCGGAACCAATCACGATCGATCCGGTAATACCAATTTACGAGGTTCGAAGAGTGCAGTTTTCGAACATACTTCAAGAGAAGGAGATACCAGCGACTCATCAAGTGGATTTGGGGCTTCCAAAAGTCCTCTCTCCTATGACATGGATTCGAAACAGATTGCTAAAGATTATCCAAATACTATATCATTTGAGAGTTCTGGTAGCGGTAATCTGGTACCCACTTCTCAACCAACTCTTGGTGTTGACAATATTGAGTATCCTTACTCGCCTCCAAACAATATGAGCTACCTCGAATTTGCCTTAGAACAAAAGAGAGAGCCTTTTGATGCTCATTTGCTCAATACTTTGAGAGACATGTTCAATCCTAAAAATCAAAAATTTGAAATGGTTTTGTTTATTCAAATGCAATTATGCAATCCACATACATTGGATGATTGGTTATGGTCACCAGAAAGATCTCAAGAGAAGAAACTTGATCATGCAGAAGCACTCAACTTTTTCAGCCAAATTTGTGATGGTATCAAGCATGTGCATTCTCGTGGCGTGATTCATAGAGATTTGAAACCCTCTAACATCTTCTTAACTTCAGACAACACCATCAAAATTGGTGATTTCGGTTTGGCCAAGTATTGCCTGGAAACATTGAGTCATACGAGAGCCAATGCAGAACAACATGGAGCTACGACTGTTGGGGCCACAACGAGCACGACCGAAACAACACCTCTCCGAAGCAACAACAACACCACCACTTCTATTATTTCAAGTTATGAAGCTTCAATGAGTCCAACACAAGCTATCGATCATACAGTGGGCGTTGGAACCTACTTTTATGCAAGTCCAGAACAACTCTCTCATTCACAGTACAATGAGAAGGCTGATATTTATTCATTGGGTGTCATCTTATTCGAATTATTGCATCCGTTTGTTACCAAGACTGAAAGAGCATTTGTGTTGAAAGACCTCAAGAATGGAATCATACCAGAAACCATGTGGACCAAATTCCCTGAGGAAATGGCCATTGTGAAACAATGCATTGACGAGAATCCAGAAAAACGACCAACTGCATCAGAAATTTTCGACAGAATTACACTCCTCACCAAAAAGGTACATATCAAAAAGTCCATCAAATCTCTCAATCCTCCTCCACACCTGGAACGAAAATCATCGTTTGGTAGTAGTGGCTCATCCTTTGTCACAACTGATTTATTGAAAGAAAAGAATCGTGTCATTGAGGAGCAACAAAAAGAAATTGAACGTTTAAAGCAGCTGTTACAGCAAGCATCATCATCATCCCATTGACCCCTACGGACAAGCCTCTTGATGAAGAATGATGAAAGCATCTTAATAAACTCAATTTTGGTGAAAATAAGATTAAAATAGTAGATCCAAGTTGGTTGGCAAGATTTTGAAAAAAAATTTGCTGATGATTTCTTTTGGCACTCCATCATTCCTCTCATCATCATCGGGAAGTTATCATAATGGTCAAATATTATCATCATCAACATCCTCCTTGCAAGGCTCGTTGAGTCCGAAATGTACAGAACTGCTTCTAAGAATTGCCAATAATGATCTGGAAGGAATTATTCAAATATTATCTCACGAAAAATCAACGAATAACACTATCATTGGAAATTCAACAACACCAAGCAATGGAAATATTTACGATCAGCAACATCAATCAAACATATTCAATGATTTATTTAAAACTGCATTATTTATTTCAAGAGAGAATTTAACTGTATCGGAGAAGGATGAATTAATTCAACACTTTACCAGCATACTCAGATGTTTATTATTATTTGATAAAACTAGGAAGAAGAGTTTAAATTTTGTTTATGATTTATTGACGAGTTCAAATATTGAGCAGAACTATGCAGAGTCATTTGTGGACTCGTCGGCTTCTTGCACCATTGAATTATCGGGAAGGCTCATCATGTCAGTCATTAGCGAAGTACACTCTTCATTGTACCATTTTCGGCATACGACGTCTGTACTCACATTGGAACAAGGATCCCATAGAAAAAGGAAAACATACAGCAATGGAAACGATGAAGACGAGGAATCACTTCTTGTCTATGACGAAGAAGACATGATGGAAGCAAACATTGCTCAAAACAATAAGATGGAAAAACAAAAGATTGGCAACATATTACAACATAATCCTGGCTCTGAATTGCTAGGGGTGATGCTACTTGGAGCGAATACTGAAATTTCTTCATCTGCTCTCAACTCATCCATCTTGTATATTCTAAAAGATCTGAAAGAATTCACAAACGAAAAAATAGAACTCATGCTTTCATCTAATAATCGAAGACACACTGCTAACGTGAATGGAAACATTGCATTTCTTGAATTAATACCAGTAATGATCACTACGTGCAAAACTCTCGCAGACCAACTATCCATTTCTCAAAATTTTCAAGAAAAGACAGATACGGAAATTATTTCCTTCATCCTAGAGAAACAATGGAAGCCAGAATATTTTATTAGTTTGTTAAACATCTTTTTAGATGTGAAAATTGATGAAAGTTCAAACGTAAGTACTTTTGGAAAATCGTTACACGATCGTATTTAGCAAGGAAATAATAGTTCCATGTGTGTATCATCAAAAAAATTCAAACAGCTCCAAGAAATTTAGAAATATCTGGTATTGTACAAGTACTATTGAAACTCGCTGAACAATACAACTCTCAAGGGTTTTCAAATTTAGAATATATTCAAGTGATCAAAACCGTTTTTAGTAAGACGAGCACAAACATTGATTCTAGACTTAATTTGTACTATATCATTCAATCAGCACTGCAATATTCATTGCCTCTACTGAACATTGTACTTAAAGCAATGGACCAATTCTATGAGGTGAAACCAGTGGACGTGAATAAGTGTTCATTTAGCGAACATTTTGTTGACTTTATGATCTTATTGCTCGCATATAAGAATGAACTGGTGAAGGACAAGGTTTTTACTCATATCAACAAGTTTATTCACTCCATTTACAAACATGTGACGCCTCAAAATCAAAACATGTCAGACGCTGAACCTTTCTTTTCGCCTGGGTCTAAAAAGTCCTTTGGTTCATCCTCCACCTCAATATTGGATCACGATGTGATAGAAATGACCGATACTTATTATGTTGAGGTAAGCCGAAATATTTTATACTTAGTTTTTCATGTTATTAACAATGCTTCTAGACTATTATCAAATCTGCATGTAATGTGAATATTGTATCCGAGGAAATGCTTTCCATTCTTGGTGAATGGTGTAGAATGAATAACAGAATGTTGAATACGATTGGAAAGAGTGGTATTGTTTTCTTATTTTCCGCTTGTGAAGGCAGCAGAAGCACAATTTTACAAAAAATTATAGGAAGTATTGCTGAAGAAAACCAGGTTGTTTATCTGCGTGAAACACCTATTGCTATCCTAGAAGCATTACTGGCTGAGGAGCGGGCCTTTGCGTTCTGTTCAATTATTGAAAGGTTATACGACTATTTATCGACCTTTGATCAATATTCTTATGCTGTCAGCTCCAGAATTTTACTGGCCATACTTCCAATATCAGAAGTGTCCGACTACATTCGTGGAGAGTTGCTTGCCAAACTAGAAAAAATATGTGTCGACGATAAGAGAGAAAAAATAGGTGATAAGCGAAAATTGGCCATATTTGGATTATCCATGCTGCTTTCAATGCCAAGTTATCAGCAAGATCAAGTGACTATATTAACGGCTTTACAAAATGCATTTCGGTTTAATGATATGGACATGAAAATGCATTTGTACAAATCTCTCAGCAACTCATTAATGGTATGTAGCGAAATTGTATTAGACAGAATTCTAATTAGAGTTTAAAGAAAGTGCAATCATCCATTAACGGGCAGATAAGCCAAGAAGCGTGTGAAATTTTGTTTCACATGTTGAAATCGAAATTGTTAAATTATTTCACGATGAACAAGGATAGAGGTATTTACAATCTTGAGATTGAAAAATGTTTTGAACTTGTAAGCGAGGACGGAAAATATAGACAACAAGAACCACTGGAAGAATTATTTAAATGCTTTGCTCTTCTTGACAAGGTACTTAAAAAACAAAACTCAGACCTGTGTGGCAGCTTGTACTCCAAATTGTTTGAAAGCTTGTGGAGAATATCCGAGACATCGAATGGCTATGCAAAATTTTAACATTCATGAGGACTCGAGCAGTCATCAATTTCAGCAAATGAAAGACTAAATGTCATTATTCCTCTTATTCAAGTACTAATCGAGGAGCGTTTTCAGCAGACTTTGGAAGTTGATGAAATCTCTGTAGAACTTTTGGAAATTAATTCACTTCTTCAAAGAATGGAAAAGAAAATGTCAAAGAGGAAAGTCAAAGGAAATTATCTCACTTTCAATACTTGTAAATCATTATGCTCTGAATTGTGCAATAAGATTTCTAAGGAAACAACTCAACAATGGAGCAAATCATTACTCATTACTCTTACGAGCGTCATTGATCATGTGACTTATTATGCTGGAGAATGCAAGGAGAAATTGTCAAATAGTTTGCTGAAAATTATTACAAGAAAGAGGTTGGATGAAGTTGAAGTACTTGGTACGGAGAGGCAGACGAGTCTTTCTATGATTCGTATCATTCGAACACTCTTTGATATTTTCATAAGCTTTTACAAGGACGAAAATAGTCAAAAAACTCGATTACGACTTAAAAAATCTGAACTTGTTCAAAAATTCGAAGACCACATTGAAAGATCCTCACCATATTGGAAAAGCTTGACTCAAGACAGCTCAATCTTTGAAAAAGTCAGAATGAAAATTCTTAACCTCATTACTGTTTACTTTGAGGGTGTCAAATTAAGTGGAAGTGAAGAATTTACGGAAAACAGCTCTTTGGAAAAGTTGTTAAAATTCATGTTCAATGAGCAACACATTCAAGAAACTCTCACACAAGAGATACCCAACACAACGGAAGAACAAGAAGAAAATTTGGAACTTCACATGAAACCGCTTGATTTCATTACCATGACGTTTTATTTTTCGAAATTACTTTACATGGAAAAGAATAAGAATCCACGAGGATGTTCCACCTATTTGAAATTGATCAAAACCTTTGCTGGTATTCATCCATTTGTCGTTTCCATGGGTATTCCTTTTGAACCAAGACAAGATCAAAACGATGACATGTCTACGAGTAGTAGCGAAGACGATGACACTTCTGATATTGTTTCTCCTCTTTCCATGGATCCACGTCTTCGTAAATGTTGCCTCATGATCGAGCTACTCATTATGAACGAACTCAAATCTGTGTCGAGTGCTCTTTTTGTGAAAGAGATTTTAATGTTTTTGCTCAATTTTTCCAGTGTTTCAACATCACTCGACTATTGCAAGGACACCATTGTGTCCTGTATTGAAGTGTGTAAAACATCGAGTAACGAGTCCACAACAAGGAGGAATGATTCAGCCAGTCGATCGTTCCACATTAGTATGTGCAACATGGCCAACATTATCAAAACACGAGAATGCTCATCCAAAGCATTGGCAGTTATTTTGTCCTACGTCGAATTGATCACAGTCAAAATGAATGAGCAATTTAAAAAGAAAGGCGCTTCTCAAGGCAGTACTTCAAATCGACGAACTGAAATTTTCAATGTGAGCTCAACATTTTCTGAACGCGCCCGAAAAAATCAACATGCTCATCTCATTCTTCCAGGATCAATATTTGTGAAAATTAAGGAATGTTTAAGCGCAGGTGTGAAATTAGTTCATGGAGAGTATGCAGAATTTGGAAGTACCGATTCAGTAACTTCCAAGCTCGATAAGATCATGACAGGCCTGTGTAATTATGTCATTAACAGTTCGATTGCTTTTAAAAAGAAAATTAAGAAAAACTTGGATCGATCAACTTCAGCACTAATTATTGAATGCAGTGCCTCGTTCCAGTCTGTATTTGATACCATCTCGAACGTCATGTCACTACGAGGAAGTATTTCTACAGCGAAAAATAATATGGAGGTAGATTTGACGAAAAATTACACAAAATTAGAGCAAGCAATGGAAAAGATGTGCTTTGAAATTCGAGAGCTGAATCGGGCATATAAAAACAGAAACAAAAAAGCCAAGCTGCAACGATTGGTAATTATTGAAGAGTTGACAAAATACAGGTTGATTAATGAAGACATGACAACGCATAATGACGAGGAGAATGAAGAAGCGACACAAAAGAGAAAGAAAGCTGGCTCTAGCTCAACATCCAAACGTAGAAAAAAGAATTTGGTTCTACGAAGCAAAAACAAGTACATTGACCATGCACTTTGTGTAGAAGATGAAGATTATCATGATATTCATGCTGATCTTGAAGATTGGATTGATGATGACAACTGGGAGCCAGCATATTAATTGATCGTTGATTCATAATGTCATGAAAGCGGTAGTCATTCCCTTCTACACGATCTCCAATTAGGAATGTATTTACATTTTTTCACATTCTAAATTTGCAATAGCAAAGCTCTTCTTTTCTCCTCTTCTGTAAGCTCAATAGAATTGTACAAGTATGAAATATAATCCTCACCCAACGATCCATTGTCTTTTGAGAATACTAATTGATCATAATCTTGTTGTTGAGAATTTGCTTGACGTTTTGTTTTGGCAAGTTTGTCAATAGCTCTATAACCAATATGCTTCCACCAACCAAAATAGTTCACGTTATGGAAATGTTCAATGTCGTGAAGCACTCTCTTCATTTCATTCACATATTCCGTTTGAGAAATTTGAATGGTGGTGTTGAGAGATTGAATCCAACTTGTATCTGTTAACGTGGGTCGTACATGGAAGTAAATATTATTACCACAAGCATGTTCGTTGTCTTCCATTTTAGTGGGAGCTGTGGCAAGCAATTTTTCAAAATCTTACAAGAATATTTGCATAATGCTTCAATGTCCTCTGCTTGAATTACTTTTTTGAGAGTTCTCTACAGTGTTGAATAGAGTTGAATGATAATATTATTTTGGTAAAAATATGTTGTGACCACAAATAATACATACATGTAGCTTGTTTTTTCGAATGAGTTTAGAAATTAAGAATGGATCATCTTTTGTCATTTGATGAATAATTCGTAAGGCAATGGTGACTACATAGATATTTCTCCAGTTTGGCTTTGTGGAAAATGATGCGTTGGTTTTGATAGAAGGTTCTCCTCGCATAAAGCTATTGGAATAGTCACGAATTAAAAAAATTAACCTATTCTTGAATACTCTTAAAAAAACTTACAATACTTCTGCATTCGTATCGTCATGATAAACAAACGCCTTAATATCCAATTCAATTAATCGAAATAAAAGTACATAAATTTCAGCCTCACCAAGCAAATGAATGAGGTATTTGGCTTGCATGAGACAGCTCTTTCTCCAATTTTTGATAAGCAAGAGCACAACTGACAGCAACGATTTGAGAAGAATGTTGCAATACCTTCTCTTCTCGACGGTGGAAAAGTTGACACCGCATTCTCCTTTGGTAATTTTATCGAGAATACTCAACATGAGCACCACAAAATCAGGTAATTCTTCAAGCAATAATCTCTTCATCGTGTTGAATTTTTTAAAGGTGAATAAAATGATTATTTAGACATGTACATAATAATCAGTAACAATGTAACATGAGCACCACAAAATCAGTACTACTTACATATAATACCTCTTTCATGCTTGGATTTTCAATAAGTGCTCTCGGAATAGAACTGTCTGTGACCTTCTCTGAAGTATCTTTCTTTTCTGGAGCTTTTTGATATACATCAATGGCCTCTTCAACAATCTTTGAAGCATTTCCTTGATTCACTTTAATGTAGGCTTCCTTCATTTCTTGTGCCACTTTCAGTCTCATGGACTTGGAACGTTCTTTTTGTAGCACTTTGGTGATTTTAGTGTACTTTTTCTTGTGAGAATTGTCTGCATCACAAATAAATAGAATGTGTAACGTCTTGTGCATGAGCATGACCAATTTCTTCAGACTGTGAATATTGGCACGATCAGTGGCATCGCTCAAAACGCTCTTTCTAAGAAGTGTTAAAAGGACAATAAAGAAGTGTTCAGAATTTTCCTTCTTTCCGTACTGAGTTCGTGATTCGTTAACATTTCGGTCAAACAAGTCATACTTGAGCTCGTCAAGAACCTCCTTGCTTGGACTCCAAGACAGAACTGTTAAAAATACATATAAAATGTTGGCATAGAGATTAAACCACTTTTCTTTTTCCTTGCACATCTTTTCGAGCTGTTCTGTGGGAATTGAGTGAGAAACCTCTATATTTGCTAATGCAAATGCATGGTGTTTGAATGCATAAATGATGGTTCCCAATCCATTACAATCCAGAACTGTGCTACAATTCTTTTTGGAGTTTGCAAATCCTCCAGTCACACTGTTTGCGTTGCTAGCGTATCCCATGACCACAGCAAGCAAATGATACCCGTATTCCCAGTGACAAGCTTCAATCTTTTCCAAAATGAAAATAACATTTCTTTCTGTCACTTCATTACCAAATAGATTCAAAATGTCAGAGCTTTTACATATGGCGATTTCTGCACTTTCTCTCTTTTCAAAAAATTCATCACACGCGTCAAGTAATTGAGTGTGACCTCTTTCTATATCACTCGTGTAGTCTTCCAATGCACTCTTGTTCATTATTTTAAAGTTTTTTACCTGAACGTAATCCAACAAGTAATTTTCGTGTTGAATGAAAAAATTCATCCCAATGGTACACCATTTGGAAAAGTGAAAAATTTCATAAAAATCAGAATCAAGTCAATCAGATAATGTCATGAGAAATGTGATTGTAACAGTGGGTGTAACCTACATTTTCTGAAAATTTAGAAAAGGACAAATTTTTCTTCTTTGTTTTCAGCTTTTTGAAAGCACTTCCCAGTGACTCACCGGGACTTCTTGAAATTTCGTGATCTACAATACTGCTTTCACTCTTTCTAGGCTGTGGAGATGATACTTCTTGCGAATAATCATCACCATTAATATTGTACTCAATATTTTCTGAATGAAAACTTTTACGGTCATTAAACAGAGGCATCGGAGGCGATGATGATCGAGTTGGTAAAAACGAGTGGTCAATTCTATTACTTCCGATATTGTTACTGCTGTATTGATCGAATATATCATCACCACCTCGGTGATCGTGATCCGATGATGATGACAACCGTTCCTTGTTTCCATAACGATGATGTCTTTTTTCCTCTTCAAATTCAATCATGGATGGAGAAAATGGTTCTTCCATGTCATTTGCTGTATGATTGTTGCTATATCGACTAGATGATCCAGTAATACTATTATTGCTCTCACCCACACTTTGTCTTTTTGATTCAATTTTCAATCCCGACGTTGGTGCTTTCTTTCTGTTGCTACCACCACCGCTGGCGAGTTGCTGAGAGAGTCCACCAGCGAATTTTTTCATTTTTTTCTGTTTTTTGTGATTTTAATTAATTGATTACTAATCTCTGCTGTTAACGAAATGAATAAGTTTACATAATGATGGTGGAGAATTTATTTTGTATTTTGATTTTCAATTGTGTTGAACAAGCACGATGTGTGTTACTTTTTTTGATTCAAAAAGAGATGGATCCAATCCAAACTCTAATCTTTCATTCATGAAAGAACATGTTACTACTTGGAATATTGAGTAATGGAGAAGAGTCGTCATTAGAAGTTGCACTTCCATTGTTCATGCAATTAAGCATCAACAGAGAGTTCAAATCTTGTAAAGTATTGGTGTCGAGAGGGAGTGACTGTTGAACATTGATATTGCTCACTACCTGTTGAATTGGAGGTGTCAATGTTGTTGCAGTCTGAAAAGGTAGAACCTGTTGATCAACAAGTATTGGAGTTGAGAAGGAGATCAAATCTTGCAACGAACTGAGGTCGACAGGTAGAGTTTGTTGTTGAAGAGATCCATGAGTAGTAGGATTAACCACAGATTCTGAATGACTAGACACCATTGTTGGTGAAGGATTCTGATCGAGTGGTTTTGTAAAAGTTGTTGCAAGGCATGAGGATCACGTTCAAGCATAGTCGTCAAGATCTTACACAGTTCTTGAAAATTAGCATCGTTGAAGGTAGTGTTTGTTGGTGGTTGAGGTACATTGTTTACCATTGATGACGAATGAGAATGTAATAATTCGCCATGATGATGGTCATGCTGACGTGGAGGATGTGGTGGAATGAACGAATTGACAAACAATGTCGTTGGTGCTGGTACGCCAGTTACTTGTTCTTGGTTCGTATGAGCATAGGCGTTGGGTTGGGATGTCTCGTTACATGAACCCATTATTTGGTGTATGGATGAGTCTTGGCAGCTATTCATAGCTTCTGGAGAGCCTTGTCGATACTGATTGGAAGGGTTCATAGTGTTTACAGTGTTGTTCTGAAGAGAATTCAAATAACAGATGAATGGAATAGTTTCATGAATCATTTGTTCAACCTTCTCTTGAATTTGGGCAACCACTGAAGCTTGGTTGGGTGAGGACGAGGAAGGGGTTGGTGATGTTTTCATCTTCTTGGTTCTTTGATCTTCATAGAGTGGTTGTTGACATTATTGTTGTACGAAATACTTGTGGTCGTATTGAAAGCACTTGGAGCCTCTTGAAGATTTGGTACATTATGATCCATGGTCTTTCTCTTCTTGTTGTTTGATTCTTCCTTCAACGTTTGAGTAGGGATTTGGTTCTGCTTTCTCTGTGGTGGTCGAGGAGAGTGCTGGTTGTTATTATTATTCATGATTGATCTTGTTGGAGGCTTATGAACTTCCTTCTTGTTGGTGGTGGTCGGCAAGGAAGTAGATGACCGAGAAGTGTCAGTAGTTCTAAATTGAAGCAGTTGAACCTCGCTCGATGAAGTGATATCTAATTCAAAGTAATTCTCTTTGAAAGCCTTTGTATTAATTTGCTTTCTTAATTTACGGGGTTGGCGACCACTGCTTGTACTCACATCAAACGAAGGGCTATTGGCAATCGTTTGGGATGATCCCGAATCGCCCATGGAATCATTCGATGATGAGAGGGATGGAGAAGAGTTTAGAGTCGTATTGGTGGCACAAGAAGATCGGAGCTGTTTGGATGATGGCATTCTGATATCGTTGTTGTTGCTTGCAGAGAGAGGTGAGGTTTTACACGAACGATTCGTTCCGTAATTGAAATCAAAATATATTGCAGAGAGACGAGCAGCTGTGTTCTATTATTGTACTACAACTGTTGTAGGTGGAACAGTTAAATAGATCACTTGAAAATTATATTCCGTCCTTTCAATGTCGAAGTTTGTGGATGTTTCTCAGAGAGGTCTTGGATTTGTTCGTTTTTATTTGAAGTGGAGAACGAAATCTTTTTCGCTGACGATGAGTATAAAAGAGCCCACAGAATCGATTCAAACGAGCAAGTAATCACTCAATCACTCCCTCAACCCAAATCTTGCGGACACTCGCAACAGTGAATCTCTCTCTTCATCGTCGTGCATTATTGTTGCTCTATCAGGGTATTTCGTAATTGACTTCCACAGCTTTGACACGAATATACAATTTGAAATACGTTGTCTGAGATAAAGACGTGAGAAGTCCGTTCTAATTAGGAACCAAGACTGCCATTGAAAGAGAGAGAAGTTTGGATAGTGGGAAAACTATTGGTTGACCCTAGTTCATTTGGGTTAGTAAGGGTGAAAGATGAGTCCACGAAATTTTCAAAATTGCATTTTTTCAAAATTGAAACTTGACAAAATGATGTCACGAATGCTTCAAAATGTTAACGAATTCAGAATTTGGAGAACGCCAAAAAAGGTGAAGAACTCTTCAGGAAGACAACATTGGCTTTTATGTTAAAAGTTGTCGAGAAGATGAATCCTGTACTAATACAAGAGTATGGAAATATGGACAGCTCATTTCGCGTGTTTGGATTTCATGAGTAGTTGTATGTGTTTCATGATTGAAGGACAATGGGTGACATTTCATAAATCTCACTTCTTTGTTGTATCATGTTCACACCTTCTTTCTACAATTTCAATTACTATCAAAAGTTTATGGTTTGATGGCAGGTTCAGCAGTATCTCTGACCATCCACACAAGTATTAAATGATGTCAGTGAAAACTCATGAACATGGAATGGTGATCAGTGCATCTAGAGGAGATGATTGAATCCAGAAGATACCAAATGACAATGAAAAGATTCAGCCTTATGAAGCGATGTGTGAAAATCATAATTCTCGAAAAGAATGCATGTCAATTCCCATTTAAAGCCAAGTTACTTTGGGACAAACACATTCATGTTGTCAACGAGGGAGTGTTTTCACTTTCTTCAAACACACTGGCATAGTTTCAAAAGGGATTAAGGAAATTTCATGTCTTGACTTTTCTCATTGTCGTAGCTGAAACACTGTGTTGGAACCTCACACGAAAATTTTGGCAACTAAGGAACACTGAACTCCAAAAAAATGGGCAACAATCTTTCTCGTAAAAAGCACAACCGTGCAGTAACCGCAACACATAACGTTGTGAGCAGCAGCAATATTAATCATCTCCAAAAATCGGATATCATTTCATGTGCTACGTTATTTAATCAAATATTTCAAATCCGAGAATTATTTCATATTATTGTGATGAATGGATTGTTGTCCTTTGGCGACCTCTTACAATGTGAACGAGTTTGTAAATTATGGTATCAGTTTATGAACGGAGATGGTTCCGATGATTGTGGAATGTGGGGAGATTTTGTTCATGCCATTCAGCATACTGCCATGAAAAAGAGTCCTTTTGGTTCGTTGAGGACAGGATCCTCTCAACAACATGAAAAGATTTCAAAAATTCACGTGATGATTATGCAACATTTGCTTCATCGGATGGAATGTAGATCCGACTATACTTATTTAAAACGGTTTTTGAATATTAACGTAGATGAAAATACTGTGGGCTCAAAATCGAAGAAGCCACAATGGGTTCTTCAACGATATGCAGCACAAAACGACATGCAGTATCAAGATGCGTGGGGTTGTTTGTGTAATGTTTCAAAGATTTCGAAGTTTATCATTACTACAGGAGACAAGCCGCAGCAAGCTACTCAAAGATTCCAATTACAAAGAATTTGCTTTAGTAAGAAATATTACTTTCAATATCGATATTATGTTGATTCCGTGTTCCAATTTCAAAATTTAGAACATCCTGAACAGTCGATTCTGTGTTTTTGTAGAGGAAAGGAAATTTCACAACCCCAAGACAATACAGACACTGACATAGTCTTGCAAACAACAAACAACGCAAGTCCAGCTTTTTTAAATGATTGTCACGTTTATAATGCAATTATTTTAACACAATTTACAGAGCAAGTGATGAAACAAAGTGAAAATCTTCATGGTTACTTTGATACCTTTTTGAGAAAGTACAAACTTCAATCACTGACCAGTGAAGAGGATGGTGGCAAAGAGGAAGAACCTGTTTTAGAAGAATCTCCACCTATATTTCAAAGAATTGCAAACGACACTCTTTGCAATTGGCTTTCTTTTATGAGAGATCTTGTGAAACACGAACAACGTCTTGAATATCTATATTTTGAACTGATGAGAGTTATGTTTTACCTATGCAGAGGAAATTTTTATGACACATTTTCAATCCAGTTTTACAATGAGCTTTCACAGCTGTTATCCAATTCTAAGGATTTCATGGATTCTTCTGAATCACAACAAAATATGAAAACAAAATTCGATCAATGGTATCACGAGGAATACATGGACAAGTATTTCAAAAGCGTCAACGATTTCGAATTTGATCATTTCAAATGTTTTGCTAAACAGACCTATTCCTGCACAGGAAGTATTGTGCTCGAAATGAGCACTTGCTTGCACTGGTACTTTCCATACGAAAAGATGGAACTAGTTTTCAATTTGCAGCGAAAGGACTTGCATGTTTTCGAAAACGTGGACGTTATTTGTCTTGATCCTCAACTCGATCGAATCAACTTTATGGATTATACGAGACCACCACTTTGTACTTTTGTGTTTGGGAATTGAAGAGGTACAAATAAATTTATTCACCCAACAACGACTCGTGAACTTGCACAAAGATCTCAATCACAAAAAAATGACTTCGTTGGTGTTTGATCTGGGCTCGAGTCAATCTCGTATTGGTTTCTCTGGTGAGGATGCACCCTATGTAGTGTTCCAAAGTGTGGTTGGTCGTTATCATAATCATCAACAAGATTCAATTTTTTCATCATCATGGGATCCTCAAGTTCAGCTCATTTCAACGACTCCCCAAGATCAATTTTTAAAATCATCATCAACCATTCCGGAATATTTGGATATTGAATATCCCATCGAGAGAGGAGTGGTTACTCATTGGGATTCAATGGAATTATTGATAGAACACTATTTAAATGTTCTTGCCAATAAGCAACATCCGAACAATTCAAAAGCTCAAGAAGACGCCTTGACTTCCATGATGATTCTATTTACAGAACCTGCTCTCAACCCTATTGAAAATAGATTGCAATACTTTTCCTTATTATTTGAACGTTTTCAAGTACAGACAGCTCAATACCAGCTCACTGGAGTATTATCTGTCTATGCTTCTGGAAGATGTTCTGCATTCAGTATTGAATCTGGAGATGGCGTGACCACTATATTGCCCATCTACGAGGGACATACCATGCCAAGTTGTATAAAACGATTGGATTTGGGAGGAAGAGATATCACGGATGAGTTGATGAAACGATTGATGGAGAGAGGCGAGTTGTCATCCATGATGAATAATACTTTATCTGCAACTAGCAACAACCAAACTTTCAAGAGTATGAATCATTATTATCAATGTCACGAACAAGTGAAAAAGATCAAGGAACAACAATGCTCCATTAGGACATATTGGGAAACTTATGATGATACGACATTCAAGCAATATGAACTTCCAGAAGGTGGCGTTTTGAAATTGTGTGAACGAGATTTACAAGAGTGTGGAGAGCTCATGTTTCAACCAGAATGTTTCATGCACACTGACACTTCTGCCAAGAGTTTGACAGGTTTAGGAGATTTAATTTTCGAAGCAGTGAGTGGTGCTGGAATTGATTGCAGAAAAGATTTATATGGAAATCTTGTGTTGAGCGGAGGAAACACTCTCATGTCCAACCTGGGCGCAAGAGTGAGCAGTGAAATGATAGCAAGAGCTCCCTCTGCTGTGAAAATCAAAGTAGTGGCCCCTCCTGAACGGCTTCATTCAGCATGGATTGGTGGCTCAATTTTATCCTCTCTTTCTACCTTTCAATCACAATGGATTACGCGAGGAGAATTTCATGAAGTTGGACCTTCAGTGGTATTTAGAAAATCACTTGTTTAAGTTGTGCATTCACTGTGAGCCATTATACATTCTCTTGTGGAGTCATCAACCTTCCAGTTCAACTAATTTCTCTTTGTGAGCATTGCAAGTTCATTGTGTGCAAAATTATTTCCGGTCATTGTTAATTAAACACATTGAGGTGAGACATCACCGAAAAAAATGTCACCATGGAACAAACTCATTCCGAACTGGTTTTCGAAACTAGTATTGAAAAACTCGGACAACAACGACCATGAAACCAACAAGACGAACTCCTGCTTTGCTCAAAGTGAAATTCCAGAAAGAAGGATGACACATCCTATCACAGGACAAGTATTACTTCGACTGACAGCTATCAAGAAAGACGTTGGCCAACATGTTGTGTATCAATATGAAACAACCTCATTGACAAATCCGCAATTATTGATTGCAATTTGTTCAAATCGAGAGCTCTATGGACAGCCATGCAAGGATTGTGTGACATCATTGGAATTGAAAATTTACATTTCTGAAAATAACTCAAATAATTCATCTATTTCTTATCAAAAACAAATAGAAGCATGTAGATTATGTGGACTACTCGATTATTTCTCAAGTGAACAAGCAGCATGGACTTATTTAATTGAATTTTTAGATGGGGGAGAAGGATATGTGAAACAACATGTTGCAAGATTGGATATTGGATGTTTATTGGAATTGAACGAGAAAAGAATGATTGAGAATTTTATTGTTAAAAAGAGTGCCACTATGTCCTCCGAAGAATTGGTGTCGTATTGTGTCAGTTGTTGTCATGAATCCATGATCAGTGACGAAAACGTGACAGAATTTCATTTTGATGAACTCAAATTATTCAAATCAAAATTTAACATCAATTTGAGAAGAAAATGGATGAAAATAGTTTACAAATCTCAAGAACTTGAATATGAGGAATGTTTGATTGAGGACATGCCATTCTTGTGTTATAACACACTCATATTCAATGGAGAAATGATTCTCAAAAGCATCTTTTCATTCAATACTCATTTCTTGGAACAAGTTCCAGAGTATTCACAAGATCTGGTGTTCAAAATTGACAAGAGACATTTCCGTCATCCATGTGTTCAATTTGCCAAAGAAATTCTCATCCAAGTGTTTGGGTTCAAACGATTATTGCTATTCGAAAATAATTTAGTTTCATCCAAAACACGACCATTGTTAAAAGCAGTATGGACATTGATCATGACACAAATTCATGTTCCAGAATTTGCCTTAATATTTCCTGTGTTTTGGCCTCAAACAAGTGAATTACCTGATTTACCACAAGCTCTGTGGAAGATCATGACAACGACAATGAATAATGATTTTGAGCCTGAGACGTTGCATGACATTTCCATAACTTGCAAACACTACACTTTTGAGAACACTGATTTGTAATCGAAGAACAACAACAAGTACATTTTGAATAATGGTGTGAAACTTTATTTCATCAAGCAGTGTATTACAGCAGGATGCTTGTCCTGGCCCCAAGAAAACGAACAACAACAAGACCATGTCCATAATCATTGATCATTGAAGACAAATAACTTAACATACGCGACTGCCACTTCTTAAACATCCAACAAAGACCTATCACTGTGAGTTCAACCAATTCAAACAAACACCGCTCTGCTCTCATTTAAAAACAAACTATGTTAAAATAAATGTAATGTAAGCAGTATCATGTTGATAGTATATTGAGATTTCTTGCCTCATTATGGCTAGTTTGGAAATCCAATTTACAGCTTTACTGAAAACCAGTAACAAAAGTTTTACAACATGAAATTACAATGAGATTCCTTTTCACTGTGGAATCACAGGCTTTGCAAAGGCTTTAAAAAATTGTAGTTGGACCAACAACGGACGAGCGGGAGTGATGAACAGCTTTGAAACACTTATAAGTTTCTCTTGAACCACCACCACCTTAACACCAATAACAAAAAAATGGTTCCACAACATCCATCATCATCCAATGAATACAGTATGTCCAATAACGCTGCAAGTTACCTAACCCTGAGCGTCCATGAAAAAGCTGCAGTAGACGCTGATAATGAGCGCAATATTGTACTCATTGAGCAGAATGGGAATTCATCAACGAGCTCAAAAAGCTCGTCAAGCAAGACTTCCTCTCCTCAAAAGGGAGATTTGCAGGTCGATGAATTAAGTGAGTCAAACACCGAGTTTGATGAAATGGAGTCTTCCTTAGGAAAAAAAACCATGGTAAGCCTTTCCGGTATCCATAAGGCTCTAGTGGAGCTCAAAGACTACGCGAAAAAGTCTGACGACCGCCAACAGGAGATGTTGAATGTAATGCGCGAGACACAGCAGCAGCATCAGAAAGTGTTGAATGAGCAACGGCAACAGCATCAGGAAGTGTTGAATGTGTTGTATGAGCAACGGCAACAGCATCAGCAACAGCATCAGGAAGTGTTGAATGTGTTGTATGAGCAACGGCAACAGCATCAGCAACAGCATCAGGAAGTATTGCATGCGTTGCTCAATGTAATGCGCTCCTCACAACAACAGCACCAGGATTTGATGGGTGTGTTGATTGCGCAACAGCAAGAACAAAAACAGCAGCACCAGGATTTGATGAAAGAACTACAAAAACAACAAAATAATAATAAATAATACAGTTTCTACTACTTTCGTTGGTGTGTGTGAGGTTTCGATAACAATCCCGATCTTGATCTAAAAGAGGGGCTTTTAGCTGAGTGAGAATTACCGGCTCTTTTAGGATCTTCTTTTGCTAAATACCTATTCGTCTGCCTACTCCAGATTGCTGTAAAAAATCAAAACAATCGAACGTAATAACAATACGTCCATCACAAAAAAGGCATCGTGTAACAAACTCATTCCCAATAAATTTTCGAAACTAGGTTTCCTGTTTTTTAGCCTCAAACAAGTGAACGACCTGATTTACCACAAGCTCTGTGGAAAAATCCTAACAACGACAACAAATAATGATTTTGAACCTGAGACATTGCATGACATGGAAACATGGATCTTGGTTATTCTCAAAATTGTTTGCCTCATTGATTTTTAATCCAAGTAGAACAACAAGTACATTCTTACTGCAATTCACATGTTTTTCGTTGTTGCGTGAGGTCAACATGCAACTGTGCACAGCTCCTCAAACCATACAATGCACTGTTACAAGCCACCTCCAATACTGTTCTATCTTGTGCATACTCATAAACACCAGTGACATGAGGAAAGTTCAATAATGTACGAGAAATTTGATTCTCAAACTCGTTGGCAGTATAAATATCTGAGAGCACGAGAACAATGGGAGAAAAAGGATATTGTAAAATCACCCGACGTAAGCAAGGTAATAACTCAACGGTTTCCAATGTGTCAAGGTTGATCTCTGACTTGATTTCTTTCAATTTCATAGAATCAAATAAAAATATCACTGCATCACTGAAATAAAGAGCATCGCGATTCTTCCACAATTCATCCAAATTCTCTTCAATTTTCTCACAATAATTTCCTTCTTTGAAAAATGTGTTCTTGAAATTCATCTCAGTGTTTGATTCATTGCGTGCAAATTTTAAGCGACAATTCAATCCTTGAATAATAGTTTGAGAAATTGTTAAACTACAATAAGGTATGAGAGGACCAGCTTCTGAATAGATGTAATATTCAAAATCTCGAAGTAAATTATGTCGATCATAATTTTCATCGTTCATTAATTCATCATCCATGTGAAAGGCAATGTGAAGAGGTAACAAGGATTTTGAATCCTTTTGTATGGGTTTTGTAGAGCTACGTAACCGAACTAGTGGTTGGTTATTAAATTTCCAAAAATTACATGTTAATTGTTGGATTTCGAAATGAAGAATTTGATTATACATTTCGAATAGAGTCATGTCCTTGTGAAATTTGTTAAATAATTTTGAATATAAAGATAAATGTTGAGTGATGCAATCTTTGATGGTTTCAAGCTGTGAATGTATGTCATTCTGATTATATTTGGGAATATACATAATTCCATCTTTGGTAATAAATAATTGTGTCAAAGTTTTATAGACATGGAAAAGAGTTTTCACCTCTGTGACGTTTCTAATCCAGGGAGTATTTGTTTCATAACGTTTATCAAACAAATAGTCTTGATCATTTGCAATTTTCAACTCGATGTATTTTTCAAATTTTTCAACCACACGTCGATAAACATTCCAAATTCGAAATTGCATAAATTTAAATCCATACACATCTAGAATTTCTTGCACATTATTTAAAAAAAAATTTTGATATATTTCCGACTTATTATTTGGACTGATGAAGTTTTTGTAAAATTGTAACCATTGAAATAACACTCGAAAAATCGATCGTTTATCGCAATACGAAAATATTTCATCAATGAGATCGAATTGACCCTGTTCTACAAGCAATCGGAGTGGTGGTGTCATCTCCAATATTTTGTTGATTTTAATTTTCTTGAAAGATTTTTTAAGAACAAATTTCGAAATTTTTTGAATTTGGAAATAATAATTTTGTTTAATGTGAAATCAACTCTTCAATGGTAAATCCATATTTCGATCCAATTTTTTGCATATTTTCATTCAGTGTCCTTAATAACATTTCTGATTTGATGGTTTTTTCCAAAATTCGAGGAGAAGTTGGAAATAATTTCATGTTCGAACTTGTTTCAGAAGAAGAAGATAAACTCTCATTGCTTGAATGTTCGTCTGACGTAGAATTTTGATATTTTCGATTTCTGAGAATTTCAACAACGGACTGAATGGAGGAAATCACTTCGACCGTTCGATTTCGAGCAGAGCTGTAATAGAGTGAAGTTGGTATTTTGGTATTCATGTTAATATGTGAAACGAGAGTGAATCGTGTTTGGTTTTCAGAAACTTTTTCAATAATGGTTCCTATTGACAATTGACAGTTAGGAGTCCATTCATCAAAAAATACTACCAACCTCCAAAAAATATTCCACGTGTATGATTCTTCACAACATCAATCTTATCCTCATTGTATTGATAAGGAGCCCTCACCAATGTAAAATTCGAATAAGGATCTTTACAAATTTCTCTAAAAATTTTTTCACTTCTCGTTCCATTCAAATCCCACATGGCCAATGTTTCATTTCGCAATGACATGCTCACTAAAAACTCTCTTGATTTCAAAGGAAAACCTAATTTGAAAAGCATTCTTGTGGCCCAAGTCGAGTGAAATTCATCTTCTTGACAAGATGTCATGTTTTCACACGAATTGGAATTCCCATTTTCTTTCAACGGAGGATTTGACAATGCTCTCCTCTTTCTATTTGTGGAAAAATCACATGACACATATTCCAATGGATTGGATTCTTCATTCATTTGATCTCCAACAATTCTCGAATATTCAGCATCCAAAATCGAATACAAAACTTCCAACGGAGATGCATTTAAAATTCCAGTTTGTTTAAATAATCGATAAGATTTCTTCTTTTTTGGATGTTTTAAGTCAGCAGTATAGGCACATGTCCAATTCATGGATGCAACTGGAGCGTTGGATCCATTTTGATTTGTATTTTCTTGTTTTTCATGGTTCACAATAGGTGGATCTAATTTTGTAAATAAATTATTCGACATTGCCAATGAATGAATAAATCGAAAATGTTTTTCATGAACCATTCGATTTTGAGTGAATGGTTCTTCTAAAATTTCATCCAATTCCAAAGCTAGTTGTGTTAAATCTTTTGTAAGTAATTGTTGATTTAAACCTCTTGGAGAAAGAGTAGGAGGAGGAGAAGTGGAAGGCAATAAAGAATTGGGCGATGAGGATTGAGAATCTGATGAGGAATTGAAACTATTTACATTAAGGAAGAATTGGGAAGGTACCAATTTTGGATGATTCGTGACATTGGAATCATTTTCTTGAGATGATTGACTCTGAGAAGATACTGGACTTGAGTCATGAATGGCACCATTGTTATGACCAGTATTGTTGTAGTTGTTTCCATTGTTGTTTGGAGCATTAAGGTTGGATGGTAATAATTTCTTTTCTCCAATTTCCAAAAAAAATAATTCCAAGACATTATTCCATAATTGTTGACTTTGTGAATCTTGTTGACGAGGAGAGGTGGAAGTGTTGGAATGAGAAGGAGCTGAATTTGGTGGTGACTGATTGTTGTTGTTATTGTTTGAGGAATTGGACATGTTGGAGTTTTGAAGTTTTTGTTTGAGAGTTTGTAAATTTTGAAGAATACATTTCACGAAAAGGTCACTCGATGTAAATCTGAAGAAATTATCACTTTTTAGAGAGTAATGGAGATGTGTGTAAATCTTGTCAAAGATGGCTTCAAGTGAGGACAGATTGTCATGATTTCCATTTTTAGAAATTGTTGACTTTTCAAATTCTGACATGCATTGATCTTTCAGAGTTGCTGGTAAATTCACTTGTCTCGATGAATCATCTCTAATATACCATTGAATCATTTTCTTTGCCTTTTTAAATCGTTTTTTGTAATCCTCTTTTGGACACAATTTAAAATCTTCAATTTCATAAATGAGATCAAGAGTCATGTCATTGTGTTCACATGTCAAGAATTCTCGAAATGCCATCACAAAATCATCCTCTCGACCTCTCTCTAGAAATTCATTGAATTTAATCGAATAACATTTGGTCATTTCCTTGACAAGAGTAAATAATTGTGCTGCATTCGAAAGTGAACCATTCGGTGCGTTCATGGTTGTCATGATCGAGTCCATCATGATGATGATTCTGTGGTTGTGGTGGTGGTGAGGCAGAGACAATGATGAAAATGCAGAATAGTATATCAAAATCTTGGTATTTCTTTGGTTATGAATAATTCTCACAAGACGAATGAGGACAATGAAAGTTTCGAAAATCCAAAAATCGAGTGAAAAACTTTAAAGGATCAATGGAAAATTTCAACTATTCGTTGTAGACACTCAATTCCTATTCAGTGAAGAGTCGAAGAGGGCGAGGGAGCGAGAGTAAATTATAGAGTTGAGAGAGAGCGCTTCGGAAATTGAAATACTCCTCAGAAATTATTCAACAAGAGTGGAAACAACGCAAGGATTGCACGTGTTGGAAAGACACACAATCATGTAGAGGATGTTGTTGCAATGCGTTGTTGTGCACAAGGATGAAGAAGAATTATCTTGGCTTGTTTTTTTAATCATACAAGATCCAAACAATCGAGAATGGAAGGCAAGTGACAGATTTCGAAAGTGAGCATTTTTAAAAGAATTAAAAAGTACAGGACACATCACATGTGATTGTAATTTAAGGAACTTTTTAAAGTCGTTGATGACCATGAAGATGGAAGAATGAAGGAGAATTAATAGCATGACATGATAATTTTCAAGATCAGCATGAATATATTCATACTTGGTTTATTATTGTTGCTGTGGTTCTTGGGACATTAAGTATGAAATAATGTCACGAAGAGAAATGACTTTGCAAGGATGAAGTTGCTTGTCACACACATACATTCTGTGGATTCTGTTGGCTGCCAATCTTCCAATAACAAAACCTAGTTCAGTTTCTTCAGAGCATGAAATTGCTGGGTGACTTTCGTTGAAGGATTGTTCTCGAATGTGTTGAACAAAGGTGTGAACGCTTTGATGAAGTGAATGATAGAGATTACTTGGGTTGATTGCCTTAATATCTCTTGCAGATAAATTGCCGATTAAAATTCCAGTGTTGTCAATGACGGCCAATCCACTGACTTTCATTTGATGCATCTTTTTGAAGCAATCAATTGTTCTCATATGTTTTTCCAATGTGATTACAGGTGAGACACCCAATGGTGCATGACCAACTTTTTGATGAGCCAACTCGCCCAAATCCTTCACATGAAGAGCACAAAAGTTGACAATTTGAGCTTGAGTCAAAATGCTGACCATCTTTCCATCCTTATCGAGAACAGGGCAACGATGTGATTTTTCCTTGACTAACAAGGTACAAGCTTCATAGAGAGACTTGTCCTCAGAAATGGGTGTGAATGGATTATGAGCGAAATCAGCAATAGCTCCAATTTGTTGGTCCTGGAATTTTGATGCTGTTTTTAATCGCGAGAAAATATCATTTCCTTGTCTGACTTCAGTCTCCCCGAAAAGTTCCACCAAGAAGGCTAGAATATCCAAAATATCAATCAAGCCAACACATTCAATACCTTTCATGACTGGAGCTGAAACAATACCAGAAGCCATTAATTTCTTTTTTCATCAAAACAAGTATCGTTGTATTGTTGTTGTTGTTGTTTTGGATGTATCATCATCAATAATTTTCATTAATTTTCAATGATGTATCGCATGATGATTTTCCATCGTTCATGATGTTCAACATGTGATCATCATTGTGTTAATAGTTTCATCAAGATCATGTTCCCGATGGTGATTATTAACAACAATTCCAGAATTAGAAAGATACAAAAATACGCTCTCACCTACCTCCAACACTTCATGAAGCTTATCTTCATATTGAAAAGTCACCATTTCGGTTGGTCTTGCAACATCCTTCACTTGCTTTTGCTTGAGGAGTTTAAATATTTCGATCGTCATTTTTTTTTTATGTGTGCGGAAGCTTCTGAAGACTCAAAATGGAAATTTGAGGAAGAGAGTGCAATTGCAATGCTATCAACATTGTTATCTTTGAACTCGTTCATCTAAATAACTCTAAATATTTGGATAGAATCTTCCAATGAAGGAATCTTTAATTTTGTTGCCATTTCTTTTGCTCACTTTTATGTTTCAATGAATCCAACAGAACCAGTTGATCTGAACTAAGGATTAACAACGGTGAATGTAACCATGTTTATTTTGCATGACTCCAAGACGTGGGTGAGAGCATCCGAGGCAATAATTCATATTGATTGGCAACAATAATTTACAACAATAAAACAAAATGAACGAATATGAAGACTCAAGTCTTCGCCATTCACAACCACTTTTCAACGTTGAAAATAAATACATGAAGGAACGTCTTCAAAAGATTGTGGATGAATCCCTGTATGATATTGATCAATGGTGTGAGGAATTGATTGATGTAAACGTACAGCAGGATGATGATCAATCTCCATTACTACTCACTCCGAAAACAAGATTTTTCAACTTGAGTCTAGATCAAGCCCATGCTCTCGTTCATTATTATCAACAATATGTATTGAAACATTCCAACAAAATAACCGAAAAAGATGAAATTGCAATACAACAATTGAAAGAACAAATTCGAAATTTATGGAACCAGGAGAAGTGTTTTATGGGAAGGAAGGTGTTTTGTAGGCTTTCCACGAGAAGTCCGAAAGATGCAGCACTCTTTGATCAGTCTGAATGTTATGGCCGATGTAAGAAATTATTGAAAAAGAAATGGATTGCAAGTTATTTGAAGTACAAGCAACGAAAGGATAGATCAGAAGCAGCTATTCCATCCAGAGATTATATTTTGAATACAGAGGCAGATGATTTTACCAATTATATCACTCACGTAATGAGTCACAGTGAGGAATATTTATCATTTATGCAATGCTCGCAACAAGGTCTTGCTGTTGAGAATGAAAATCAAGTGTTGGATGTGTTGACAAATTCGGAGCGAGTTCTGCAAGACTTGACTAGAGCTCTAGATTTTCCAGAAGTTTTTAATGTAAAATTAATATTGAGAGAATGGTGCCCAGAAATCACTTATGAATATGAATTTAGAGGTTTCGTACACAATTATGAGCTTATTGCATTATGCCAATATGATAACACGTGTTTGGTTCAGGAGCTCATTGACAAGAAGGATGAAATTTCCTCATCCATTTTACAATATTATGATACTACAGTGAAACCAATACTCTTACACAAATCCACACAAGCATCATCAGTCATATCCAAGTGGAATGGTGAAGGTAAGTTATGGTTGTTTTGTTTAAGTGAGAAGTGACAATAACCTTTACAAATGTCACGCAGTGATTATGGATTTTGCAATATTACAACCAAGCAAAAAGATTATTGTGATTGAGTGTAATCCTTTTAATAATGGAACTGGTGCTTCATTGTTTGAAGTCGATCGAAGTGACATGAAAGAACGATATAACACGAACAAGCAATTCGAATTTAGAGTTGTGACACAACAGTGGTATGCTGAATGTTCGGAACAAGCAAAATGTTTTATTGTTGTTGATATATAAAAATTATTCTAAATGAATATAAATAAAAGATTATAAATATGGTAGTAGAGATTTGTTCACATAATTCACTTATTGAACCAAAACTTCTGATGAGCCAGCTCCCTTAGTTTGTTTAGTTTGCTTCACTTTCTTTGCTCCGACCTTTGGGAAGTTGGAGTCATCGGAACCAGCAGATTGTGATCCAGCTTCTTGTTGAGACCATGAAGCAGTTGAAGTGGATTCACTGTTGTTCACAACAATTTTGGCTGATGAGACAGCAGATGGCTTCTTGGAAGTAATAGTAGCTGTAGTATTGATGGTAGCAGGTTTCACTTCAACCTCTTGCTTGGCTGGAGTAGTGTCCTTGACATTGTCATCCCAGAAATCTTGCTCGGAAGCATAAGGATCTTTGATAATAGTCTTTCTCTTTTCAACGGTCTTTGGTTGTTGAGTAGTGGTTGGCTTCTTTTCAACAACAACTTCTTCTTCTTCGCTTTCCTCTTCCTCACTTTCCACGATTGGTTTGGATGGTTGAGCCTTTTTAGTTGTTTCAGCTGTTGGCTTCTTCTTGGTTTCAGTCTTGGATTCGGAAGTGGTCTTTTTTGCTTGTGTCTTTTTCTTATCAGTTTCATCTTCATCAGAAGCTGATTGTTCCTTCTTTGGCTCTTCAAACTTCTTGAAAATGGACTTGTTTTCATTTTGCTTCTTCTTCTTCTTGTCGTTTTGTTGTTGTTGCTCAGATGCCTTCTTGGTTTCATCCTTCTTACGACCAGTAACTTCAGGTCTCTTGACCACTTGGAAATCCTCGGATTCTTGTTGTTCCTCCTTCTTGGCCTCCTTTTGTTGCTTCTTGGTTGGCTTCTCCTTGGTCTGTTGTTGCTTCTTGTTAGCAGTAGACTCAGTGACTTGAGGCTTGTTGTTGCTCTTGTTCAATCCGTAAAGTTCGGCAACATCAAGAGATTGAATTTCATCAGTGGCCTTGCTTGGTTCTTCATCAGAAGATGCTGCTGCAACAACTGAACTGGATGCCTTTTTCTCTGTCTTTTTACTCTTCTTCTTTTCAGTTTTGAGCTTTTCTGATGGTCGGGATTTGCTTCCGCTCATAAAGAAGAAAGCAATAGCGACGGCAATCAAAGGTACTATGATATAAATTAATTGCATGGTTGAAAGAATAAAATCGGATGATGATGGTTGTTATGAAGATGGATGATTACAACCGGTTGTTGATGAAGAAGAATGGAAGAGAGAATAGGCTTTTCTTCAATTTTTTGATTATGTATAATATAGGAGAGTTTGAAATCAACAGATCTTTTTGTAATCTATTCTCTTTCAAATGAATGAAGGGTAACGATAATAGATTACGACCAAGCAAAAGGTGAGCGATCTGTCAGCGGTGGAAAGCTTTTTTGATTTTTTTTCTCTTTGAAGAAAAAGACTTTGAAAGTGACGTGTTGGTCTTGTTCCCAGCCATGAATTTTTGTAAAGTGCAAAAGAGCCAAAGAACGAAAACTTCCTGCAATGTGTTGACAGCCTGTACGTATCACTTTTGCAACAATGATATCAAAAACCACATGAACAGATCATTCATTGAGGATATTGAACAACATGTTTCAACTTTTACAAGAAAATATCTGGAACAACACAAAAACAAGGTTAAGGAACAAAAGAACTTAATAACTCGATTGAGGTGCATTCACGGACAGTGGTTCAATTTTTCCTAATACCACTGAGGCTACTATTGACAGGCTCGACAGAAGAACTAAAAAGTACTTTCTCCCTCTTGAGATTGTGCTTTTAACTGTTGGCTCTTAATTTTCATCGGGCAAAGGAGAATATATTGTTGTTCCTACATGAATAGTTCAAGTCGATATTTCGAGAGTTCTCCACTCAAAAGAACAAGTTGTAAAAATTGTCATACTTGAGATCATGCGACCCAACCATCATTCGTTTGGAGATTTTTCATCGATTTCTTCCGCCGGTTCTTCTTTATTTCCAACAACTTCCTCTATTCCCCTACGAGACAACAACAACAACAACAGCAACCACTCTCATTTACCTCCTTCTTCTTCTTCCTTTCAAACACACCATGACACGAATAATACAACAACAATAACAGCCATACCAGCAGTTGAAATAACCACACATGGTTCCGAGGATCAGCGTGCAACGGTCTATTCATCCAATGCTTTACCATCATCATCAGTGGTATCATTACCACAAGAATCATCATCGTATTATTCTGTGATGGATCGAGTGGAAGAAAACCGCCGACAACAACAATTATTATTATTGAACACCACATCCAAGCTTGATTCAACAACCAACCTCCCAAATTGCAATCACCAACATCATGAATCCCTTTCCTCTCCCCTCCACATGTATAACAAGATAATATTTGAAGATTCTGAATATTTATATCGGAATGTAACACGAGATGATTTACCCTCATTGAAGAAATTACAACAAGAGTTATTTCCTGTACAATATAACAAACAATTTTATTTGAAATTATTGGACAAGAGTAAAACATACACTCTATTGTCATTCAGTAAGGAACACAACGAGCTTATTGGAGTGTGTTCATCGTCAATTTTAACAGAGGAAAAACACGATGGAGGATTTTGGCAAAATTTGTTTGGATATCCCGACAAGTATAATATTTGTTACATTATGACTTTGGGAGTGAAGAAAAATCATCGAAGGAAGGGCCTGGCAAGTCGAATGTTACAAATATTAGAGGAAGTTGTCTCTGCTGAACCTTATTTCTGTACAAAACTGACCTTACATTGTAAAGTGGACAATGAAAGAGCTCTCTCCTTTTATCGTCAAAATGCATTTTTCATTAAGGAGAAAATTGACGGGTATTATGATTTTGGGTCACATATGGAGGCTGCTTTCAAGTTGGAGAAGAATCTATCCATTGAAAATGAACATTTCAACAGCGATGTAAATTTTTTAGGGTTACCATCGGCACTGTCTGGACTCCTTACTTCTGAGAGCAGGACATCCATAGCTGTGCCCAGAAGTAGTGGATCCACTGGAAGTTTTAATGAAGTGACACCTGTAACAAGGACGAATTATAACAACAGCAGCAGCAGTAATAGTAGTGGGAGTTCTTCACTGGGGTGTCTTTCTCTAACGATACAACTTTGGAGGTTTTTTATGGATTCTCTAAAAATTTTTACTAAGGATTCTCTCACCATGTTGAGCACTTCTGTGGTGACAAATTCAAGCCAGCAACACTTGGCACAATCAGCTCTTAACAACCCTTCATCGCCAGGAGGTGGGAGTTTGCCAAATCCAAGACCTCGAATTGTTTTACAAATTCAGGAGCAAGAGTGTGAATAGCACGATTTCTTCAATCTAGTTTGTGTGTTGAGCAATCAATCGTTCATTGGTGTTATTTATGATCACATCAACCGCTAAACGGAGCTGTTTTCATACAAACAAGGAGACATTTCCCAATAGCCATGGTGCCAATTCGATTAAAAAACGTTTTTCTTACCTTCTTGATATTTAAAAATGGAAATGAAAGTAAATAGTTTAAAAAAATCAAAACAAAAAATACCAAAGATGAACTCTCCACCCACCAGCACGAGTAGCGTTGTTGCTGGTTCCATGATGATTTCGGGCTCATCAACGCCAAGCACACCGGTTTCCATCGCTTCGACCAATGTGTTTGGTGGTATTGCTCCGCTATTACCATCGGCATCAACAGAATCGTCCGTACAACAACAACAAGAACACACACCAAGTTCAAAAGGAGTGCGAGCATGGCAAATATGCCCTGGATCCATTAACCCATATCATCAAGCCTTCTCATGGACCACGCACATGGGAGATGAAATGATTGCCTATGCCAGTGGAAAATATATCATGATTTATTCCGGAAATAATTTTCTTCAAATATTGGAGGGTCATGATGACATTGTTACATGTGTAAAGTGGAGCAATCTTCACAGTAGAATCGCAGCTTGCTCAAAGGGTAAAATCATTATTTATTCTCAGGTAGAGGAGGACGAAACGGAGCATGGTTTTTCGAAAAAGACTCCAACTTGGGCAATTGAACAAATTATTAATTCTGTAGATATAGAGTTCGATTGCATGGATTGGAATTTGTATGGAGATCGTCTAATTGTTGGAGGAAGAGTTACAATGATTCTTGAAGGAGTGCCAGTATTAGGCCAAATCTATGTAAGTAGAAATTAACCAGAATTGGTAATGCGTTTCTAACACTTTGGGTCTGTCACTAATTTTTTCTGCTGTCTCAATGAACTACATACCATTCATTCAAACAAATGACATTAATAATTGATTACGTGACCATGCAATAACACTCAGAAATGGAACGTTGTTTGGAGATATGAAAATCCTACACCAGTACACATCGTGGCATATTCTCCCGATGAGAAGTATTTTGCAACAGTGTCAAAATATGATCGATTGGTAAAGGTTTGGTATCGAAACAAGCCAATAGTGATACCCTCTTTCACACCTGTGATTTCCATCACCGATACACAAGAGCCTTCTGCTGTCGAGGAAGAAGCTGAAGCATTTTCCTATATTTATTTACCTCATCCTCGTTCTGTTACATCCTTATCTTGGAGATTTAAGGAAATTGGCTCTCAAAAAAAGGACGAATTTGCAGCCAATGTATTGTTGACAACATCAATTGACAATGTCGTTCGAGTTTGGAGCGAAACCAACGAAACTGAAGATTTATCATTTTATGTTTGCTCTATAATTGAAAAAGAAACACAATCCAATGTTCAATGGTTGAATACAGCATTCGAAAAAAGTCCCAATCAAGTATTATTGCAGTATTTGCG